GTTATCAATCTTTCTTCTTCTTCTTTATTTTCAAGAAAAATTTCCAACTTCTCTTGCAACTCTCTATGAGCCACTTGAAGAAATAAATCTCCTTTGCTTGGATCTAATAATTGTCTTTTTTTCTTTAATAAATGAAAATATTAGCTTTCAAACTCTTTTAATTATTTTGTTGCATGAAGATCCTTCTTAGATCTTTCAATCTATTCAAAAAATGACTTTTTTGTAACTTGATCACTATCTTCTAAGAAAAATTTATCCTTCAATGCTAGAAAAAATTTCTCCTATGAACCTCTAAAATGTCCTATAATAAATTTTACTTGATTTCTTATCTTTGGTACAAAGGCTAATCTAAATAATTGAACTATCTCTTTCCTAGAAAGACAATTCAATTCTATTTTTTTTACATAACATCTTAAATATTTTATAATATTTTTTCCTTCAAATTATTCAATCTTATCTACAACCGCTTGTAATGCTTTGTTTGTCATATCGTCTTTGTAATTTTTAACTTGTTGTTATTGCATAAATAGAACAAAAGCCTCAAACATACTTGTAGGATTAGAATCAAAATATATACCTTATTTTCTATTTATAGCTCTACTTTCAACTCTACTTAAAGTATCAATTAAAGTACCACCTAAAGCCTTCCTTCTGTTCTCTTATTTTTTTTTATAATTCAAATAAACCAAAAAAAATTCAAACACCTTCGACCTCAAGCTTTTGATGTTGGATTCACCAAATTATGTTGTATTACATGAAGTTTGCTTAAGAATGTATTGGATAGTTGATTGTGGAAGAAAAAATAGAACTTACAATAAGATGACTTTAATAACTCTTATAGAATTCTAAACAAACTTCAATTAAACTATAACAATATTAATCAATTTTTAATTAAATTAAAAAAAGTCTCAATAATTTATAAAAAAAAATCAAAAAAATTATAAATTAATCTTAATAAAATATATATAATAAAGAAATATTTAAAAAATATCAAAAATAAAAATTCTAATTGAATTCTAATCAAAATTTAATATAATCATGAATCCTAATTCTAAACCAAATCTTAATTAAATCCTAAATAAATTCTAATGAAATCCTAAGTAAATCCTAAATTCTAATCTTAGACCAAATTCTAATCAAATCTTAAATCTTAATCCTAAATCAAATCCTAATGAAACCTTAAATCTTAATTAAATTCTATCAAATCTTTAAAATAACTTAATAAAATTTTAGGCAAGTCTTAATCAAATCTTGAGCAAATCCTAAATCCTATTGTTAGACCAAATCCTAATAAAAATCTCAAGTATATTTCAATTAATTACTATAGCTATTTGAAATCTCAATAAATATTAATTGAACTATAGATCTTGACTAAAATTTTACTTCGATTTCAATCAACAAGCAATTAACAAGCATACAAAATTTAAGAAGAATTGGATTTATCAATTACGAAAAAAGCTTCCAAAATCTCTTGATTGTTGGCTACCTTTCTTCTCCAACTTGAATGTTGATCTTTCAACATTAAATTTTCTATAGATATTTCAGTCCTAATTGCTATCACCAAATTTTACTTCAATCCAAGCAGCAGATATTGCTAGATCTTAGAATCACACATTGACTCTGAATCTCAAATTTCTGTGACTATAATCTATAAAAATCCTCATGTGCTTCAATCTAATTTCTCAATTGACTTCAAATTTTTTAAAGACATTTACAACAAGTACAACAACAAATTGCTTAATTTTCACTAATACATATCTTAAAAAACTCAAGAAATCCTCAAATTTGTAAATGTATTTATATTTTTAAAAATCTAAATCCACCAAGTACATTATTAACTTTGAAAATCTTTCAAACTTCTAATATTAATCCAAATGATATGAAATCAATACACAAAAATCTCACCTCAAGTCTCCTCTCAAATTCTATTTTCTAATTTGCAATAGAACCTTGAAGTCACCATAAGTACATAGTTTTGTGCCTTGGGATCTGATTTTGATCTAGATTGACAGTTGGTCCTCTCTAGGTATCAATTTTTAGTAATTTGAGGTAATTTTTATTTTAACATATTATTAATTCTTTTTTAAATATACTTATATCAATTTTTTATGTCATTTACTTTGATTTGGCTCATTTATTCTTCTATAAAATAAATAGAAGTTCCTTCTATAAAAGGCAGTATTAAGACTAAATTTTTTACTACCTTTTTATCATTTATTTTTATTATTCTACTACATCTTTCTACTAGGCTCTTCTATAATGACTAGATATTTTTATTTTTCACTATGTAGTCATGTTACTATATGACAATGTACATATAGGAAACTTGTCTTACAAGTTAAAACATGTGTCTTGCAAATTAAACATGTCTTGGAGATTTTACAGGATGTCGCTATGTAGCTTCTAGTTGAATAGTATATATGAAGGCAAGAATAAAGTCTTTTTCATTCTTTTCAACACCTTTCTAATCTTTCGTCTTATTTTAAGACTTTCTAATCTTCTTGTTTTTAACAATAGCTATTCTAATTTAATATATTACCATTTTTGAGTGATTTTTTAACGTTTTTAAGTGACGTAAAAGTATATTGAGATTTTTTTCTTTGAGATTTATATCCTTCACACAAAAAATATATAATTTTTTGAATCTATTTGAAAATCATCATTTGAGATGATACACTATAAATATTTCACTTATAATAGAAAAAAAATTAAAAACTTAAATTATTACTTTTATGAAAATAAATTATTAAATATTTAATTTAAATATTTATTAAAAATAGATTCAAAAAATAATTTATATCTTTAAATATTGAATGATTATAATATGTAGAATTTAATATCTTATTTTTTATCATTTTAATGGCTTTAGAATCTATTAATTACTTATTATTATTATTAAATGAATATTTATGAAGTAATTATTTTATAATTATTTATCATTATTAAAATAATTATCTATATATAATAATAAATATATTTATTTTTAATTATAGTTTTTATAAAGATTTGATTATATTAAATAAGTTGTATTTATTATTATTCTTTAATATTTTAAAAAAAAACAATTAAATTAAAGAATGTGATTTTTTATTATAATTTTTATTGTTTAAAAATTTTAACAATTTTTTTGCATATTTTGGATTTATTATTTCTAAATTAGATATTAAAAAAATAAAATATATTATAAATTTTAAATTATAAGGCTTTATCCAAATTTTCATTTAATTATACTATTCTATCATAAGTTTGTTTTACAAAAAATTTAATTCATGAAGAATTTATATAAAGCCAAAGTACATTATAACATCTACACTCTTTTGATAATGTAGATATATATACATACTAATTTAGAGTCTCTTTTGTCAAATAAAATAATTATAATTGTTTACATATCTAAATCTTAAAATTTTATGTATGTATAGATGCATGAAAAAATAATTTATTCTATTGATTTTAATAGTAAATAATAAAATAAAATATATTTAAAATAAATAAAAGTTAATTCTATCAATATAAATATTTACAAATTTGAATTTGTTTAATTAAAGATTAGTAATGAATATTTTTTGTTTGTTTGATAATATTTTGTAGCATTGAAATTTACTTTGAGGAGTATAATATATTTTATATTTAAAATATGAGCTTCAAGACCTCTAATCTATAGATTTTTGTCTAAAAGGTTATTAAAGCAAACAAACAAAACTTAGTGAACTTTAAATAGTAAAACCTGCTACTGTGAAAAATACAAGTAAATTAAGAATTCTTAAAAATTGACGACTAATTAAACCACTATTAATTTTTAGTTAATATCATATTGCTAAGAAAATTCATTATAGTGTGTTTTAAATAATTCTGATAAAATATATTAATTTCTTAAATCTAAAACTTTACAAACTTTTTTCAAACTATAGTTCAAAATATAAAAATACTGTTTTTTCACAGAGAAGGAGTCCATCTGTTGTGTAGTGCTCAAGGTATAAGCACAGTACATTGCAATAGTTTAATCACACAACTAACAGCTTTTGAACTGCTTCTTAGGTTGTAAATAAAAAATAAAACAATAAATCACATGATGTTGAAATGAATACAAATACGAAATAACGGTGGAGCTTCTTGTATATAGTATGAGCCACATTGTATTGGAAGTTTTTAGTGTCGTGGGTATTATGAATGATTTATTTTTTTAAAAGAATCCCATCAATCGCCTTAGGTATTTAGATGTGACAAAAATAATGAATAGGCCTTATGTTTTTCAAACCCCTTAAAAACGAATATTGAAATGATGTGCAGAAAGTGAAGTTTTAAAGCATTGGACTCTTTTGAAAAGAAAGTAAAAGATGAAAGCAAAGTTTACACTGGTTTAGTGTTTATTTTCATCATAGATTCATACATATTACCTAAGAAGAGTGAAAATTTTAAGTAATTAATTACCTGAATGTTTACTTAACTATAGAATTAAAAGATCACACCAGTGTTTATATGTTGGATAAACTAATGACTTTAAAAAAAAGGCATATCAAAAAAAATTCATACATCAAAATAATTATTTTAATAATTAGTATTTTTTTAATTAAGTAAGTAATAATTTAGTTACTTGCCTATCTATTTTCATTTACAATCCAAATAACATATTATCATGATTAAATTCTTCATGCACTTTCTTAGAACATAATCTATCTAAACACAAATACAACACATAAAAAACTAAGATTTAAATATTTAACCATATTTAACCATATTCTATTATATTGAAAAAGAAAAAAATCACATATACAAACTTTGATCTATATTCAAAATTTGTAAGTATCTCTTTCTTTTGTTTCCTAATGTGATGAAGAAAAGCTCAGGATGAAGGATGAATGAACGCCATCAGCGGCTGGACGACGAATGAAAAACATCCATCGGCGCGATAACGAATGAAATATCATTTGATGGATGGATGAGACACACGTGAGCGTGTCGGGGGGGGGGGGGGAAGGGTTTTGCGAGCAGGCGGTGGTGCCGCGCGCGCCACAATTTGCGAGGAGAGGCCGTGGTGCCGCGCGCCGCATGGTGCTGAGCTCGATGCAGCCTCTCCGAGGCAATGTCGAAACGGACCGAATTCTCGCGAAGTGCCCATTTCGCCAAGGAACGCTCCACCTTCACTGTGCAGCTCTTGTTTGAAGCCTCTCATGAAGTGGTACTCGCCTGGCTAGGGTTAATAATTCAGACCCATAGGATTGACTGGGCGCTGAGCGTTTGAATTCGAGCCTCTGGTTTTGCGCTTCGAGCTTCCTTTGTGGAGGTGTTCAGTGTCGTGTGGTTGTTGTTCTCGTGCTCGCATATCCAGGCAAATTGAATTGTGGTTTCTACAGTGGTGTGAGTGCAGACCTGGTTTTGTAGTGCTTGGGCTCTGTCCTTGCGATTGGAGGATTGCCTTTTTATTGTGAGTCAGATCCAGTACCGTAGAGGCGTAGTTAGTATATCGGTGCAGCTTTACAATCATGTGAGATATTCTTTGTGCAACCTCATGTTCTAGAGTTGGAATTTGATTTTCGTCCAATGACGATCAGTTTTGCTACTTTTGCAAAAAGTCTTGAATCACACGCCGATTGTATAATCTGGAGATTTTGTTTCTGATTTTTTTATCTTTTAAGCGTAAAACAGCCCGCACATGGAGTTTGTTAAGTTTTCGCATCAGAAAGTTTACAAGATGGTTGCAGAAGGTGAGTGACTGCAGGGCAAGCTCTGAATTGTGTTGTTGGTAATGAGATCGTCGAGTTTTAGTCAAGGTTTTTGGTTCAGGATGCTGGGATTACTTGTTTACCTTTTGGGTTCTGGGTTTTGATAATCGTGTTGTGTGTGATTTACTCTAGTGTAGAGATTCTGAGGGCGGGTGGTTTCGTCTCGTGAATATGTCAGGGTGAAGGCAAGGACATTGAGCAGGGAGAATGATTCTTTACGGAAGCCAGTTGCGGCGGTAACAGCGGTGCTGAGTTTTGTCATTGGAAGTTTTGCACTGAATTGTGTTTTGCTACTGATCTTCTGGAAAAGGAGAATGGAATGACGGAGATATGCGAACGTTGTTGAAGCTGGTAGATAGTCTGAGGTTGTCTTCGACGGCTCGAAACCTGGTGCTGTGTTGGAAAAGAGATGTTGCTCGGAGAGGTTTTGGGTTTCCTTTTGACGTAGTTGCAAGTGTTCCACGCGTGTGATGGAGCTTGGGGATTCTCGAATGCCTATGTCCAGTTTTTTTGCGGTGTCTTGGTGGAGCTTTGGACATCCGTTACTGTAACTGCTGCGGGCCTTCTTGGCACCCGACAATGAACAGTGTTCGTCTTCCAGTCAGCTTGGAGTTTCGAATCCTGGATTTGGGAGCTTCCTCCAAGGCATGACTGGGATTTCTAACGATGCATTGACCAACTAGCGAGTCGTTGAATCCAGACTGTCTTTTCAATGCCAACATAACGTCATGCAGCTCTTTCGTGAAGATGAATCTGCCTAAGATTCTACGTGTGAGATGATTTGGTTCCAGGTGCTGCAGTTGGAAATACCGTGTCCTTGAAAACCGCTTCTCTTTTGTTTCAAGTCATGAGGCGCTTCTACTCGTGACATTCTTCGCGAGCTGTTGACTCATAGCTTGCTTAAAATTCTGGATACCACTTTTTGGTGATCAATTTGAGATGGATTTGCAGAGAGTTTCGCGGAAATCTTTTTCCTCAGGTCCGTATTGTTGTTGCACTGAACTTGCCACACATTATATGAGCTTGACTTCGCAGTTACCTGAGCCTGCCTGCTTATGTTTATTATTTGATGGGACCAGTCGTTAGGATGTAATATTGAAATTAGTATCTCTTTAGCGGTTGGAAGTGTCAGTGAATAGTTAGATTTTCCATGTGCTATTTCCGGTCAGAGTTTTGAAAGGTGGAGGGGGATGTTTGAAGTCTACGGATTATTACAGTTGTGGAGTTTTATTTATATATTGTTTAAATCGTTTTGTTTGTTTCTTTTGCTGGTTCTCAGAAATCGAAGGAGAGAGGATGCGATTTCGGGATGTGGAAGCGAAGGACGTGCCACTGCACGAGAATGCCGACCACATTAGGTCATTGTATTCCCAGCAAATAATGAGCGCTGCTTCTGCTACCGCTTATGGCTTAATAGGACTACTTATGGGATTTGTCAATAAGGTACTCATTGGACACATTTTAATGCTCTTTGCATGTGGTGATTTCTTATCACATTTGATGAAAATGGTGCATGATTTTCAATAGGTTCTATGTTTTACTGAGGAGTTGGATCAAATAGGTAATCAGATATCTATTGTTTGGGGTGACTATGAAGTTTATGAAATCATTTTTCCTTTTGATGCAGGCAGTTCTTTTACAATGGCCTTATCCAAACTCGTTTCTTGCACTACAAATGGTTGCATCTATTGTGATTGTCTACGCATTCAAAGCTTGGGGCCTGACAACTGTACAGCCATTGCACGTAAAAGCTGCTAAAGCACTTCTGCCTGTTGTTTTTTTTTACAACACAAACGTTGGGTTTGCTTTAGCAGCGGTGAGAGCCTTGAGTATTCCCGTGTATCATGTCTTGAAGCGATTGACACCAGTAATGGTTTTGGTGGGTAAATCTTTCATGGGTGGTGCCATTCCTTCCAAGCAGATTACGTTGTCCGTGCTTACTGTTGTTTCAGGTTAGATTCGGCAGCCGATTTCTTTAGTTACTCACTTTTTTTTTTTACTAATTTCTTTCTTGAAGAAAGCTGGAACCTTGTAGCTTATGAGGCAGGATAGCTTGCGTTCGTTTATACGATCTCAGCAGAAGATAGATATTTGAAGATCCTTTTTGCATTGAAGGACACTCTTAGGAGTGTATTGACTGAGTGAATTTTCCCTGCACAGGTTGCATAATGGCTGGCTTTGGTGATTTAAGTTTCGATTTGAGTGGCTACTCTGCGGCACTCATTAGCTGCGCTTTGCAAACCAGTTACTTGCTTTTAGTAGAGAGAACTGGCACCGAGAAAGGTCAGTGATTCATTGTCTTCGAGTTTATGTGAATGTTAACGAATTGTTATATGTCGGAAAGTGTCTCAATATATTCCCAATGAGGGTGTAGTGCTGCTCAAGCAAATCTGAATTCTTTTATGATCTCGGTCGAAGTGAGAGGATTAGACTTCTCATACTGCATCTGCTCATGTATTGTCATCACTTCTATGCAGGGTTCAATTCAATGGAACTGCTTCTGTACAACGGAATACTCTCGTTACCGGTGTTACTCATCATCATATTAGGTACAGGGGAGGTTTGGGATTCATTTGAGAGCATGAGGATCCAATCACGGGAGTCTCTTGCATTCCTACCTCTGCTGCTTGTATCTTTACTCATGGGTTCATTGTTAAACTACTGCTTGTTTCTATGCACCCTCTGCAATTCGGCACTCACGACAACCATTGTGGGCACTTTAAGGAGTGTTTTGGGCACGGTTAGTCTTCTATTCACGTAGAAACCAGTTTTGTTGTGAAATTTGTTCTGTTCGTTCGTCTTCTGCGATGCCAACATGTCTTCCTGTACCATCTGGCTTTTTCTCAAAAAGAGTCATTTTTTTTGTTGCCTCAAAGTACCGTCAACATACTTCACGTCATAATCCGAATAAATCTATGTGTGTAATCTCAAATGTTCAGAACACAGCTTCTGGAGAGCTGATAAGTGTATCTGTTGTGTCGACTACAGGTTCTGGGGTTTTTTGTCTTTGGCGGGGTTAAGGGCACCATTTTTATCTTTTTGGGCGTTTTATTCAACACGTTAGGTGGTGTCTGGTACACATTAATCAAGTTTAAGGAGAAGCATAAGGAGAAGCAGTCCAAGGAGCAATATCGTATCTTGGAGGCGAGTAGTAGTTTCAAAGGAGGCTGAATCAAGTATCATGATCAGATACTTCATATTTCTGTGACGCAGTTGTGTCTCTTACAAACACTCTGATGCATGACCTTGCTGGTTTCTAACTTGAAGCCCTTCATCCAGGATGTGATGATAGTTTTGATAGAATATTCTTCTATCATTCTATTTTATTTTGCAGCACCTTCTTGAGGTTGATGAGGCCAAATACCCGTGAATAGCCAGTTGGTGTAGATTTGAGTGGTCAGAACCTGTATATTTATGGTGTCTGAAGGATCCAAATGTATTCGAGCAGGAACCTGTAATGTTAGTTGTAGTTGAAGATTTTTAGATCCTAGTTCATATTTTAGACGTCATTTATTCAGTTAGCCCCGCAGGAAAAATTCTTTGAGACCCTTCATTGGTCATCAGCAACGTCTGTTTCATTTAAGCAAAACTATCCATTGCACCGAGTATTTGTCTCCGATGCATTCAGAAACTCTGAGCTTTGTGAATATTAAATCAGTAGGCAACCTTTTCCTTTGTCTTGTGCTGACGAGTTGAACAGCCAAAATTCTCACTTCTATTTTCTCGGAGCTCGATGAAACTTTCAGCGGGATCTGTGAAAGAATACTTGATGATTTTTTGAAGATATTTTTATATTATCAACAAGGGAACACTCTTACTACATTCTGCATATGTTCAAACCATCATGCTACGAACTTTAAAAGAAGCCAAATACATGAGTGCTTTGAGCAGTCTGATACTTTACTGGTTTGCTTCTAATACGATCTATCACACAGCCTTGGTACATCACATAAAACATAGAGATGTACCGAAGAGTTAATGGAACATTTTCAGTGCTCATCTTTGTACTCAGTTGAGATATAGAGGTTCATAACAGATGTTCTAAAAGCCTACATAGCAAGACCTTCCATAAGCTTGTGGACATGAAAGTACGGTTGAGTGAAAAAGTAGCCGTTGAAATTGTACTTGGTGATGGTTGTGACTCCCAATTCAAATCCATGTCAACCATCAAATGCTTCTGACCCTTAAAGTCTTTTGAAAATCAAGTTTTTCGACAACTGCACAAAGAGAATTGTTGTTATTTTTAGGATGGAATTGAATCGCACTATGTGGCAGTTGAAAAACGATTAATTGAAAGACAGTATTGGTTTCGCATAATCAGAGCTTGTGCTCACGATCTTTGAATTTGACTAGAGATTATCTGGTGGTCTCTACTATTTGGTTGAAATCTCGGCCCGCTTTGAAGGTAGTAGACTTTTCCACAAAACCTCGAAAAGACTCATACCCAGGTCCAAGATGACCTAGAACTACCCAAAAATGGCAAGTGGTACCAGAAAAGCGCTCACACATTGGGCCAAAAACATTAAAATTCAAGACTTAACAGTGAAATCCCCACCTTTCAGGATGAATCTAGCACATGGGTACCCGTGCCTGCTATTAGGAAAAACAAAAAACACTAAACAAACAAACAAACAAACAAACAAACAAACAACGCATGTTAGAATGAAAAGAAAACGAGGTGAGAACCAGGAGAGTGAAGCAGCAGCGTCGGTGGCATGACGAGTGGGAAAAGTGGACAAGTGCCGCATGAATCTGACCTCGAACCGTAAGCAGCATTCTTCCCGTATGCTCCTCATATGGGTACCATTTAAGTCGGCGTTGCATGCCTCCAGTTCAGCCCTCGGATCACCCCATGTCTAGATCTGCATCGACGGCCTGCTTGCGCGCTGCTTCTTGCTGTAGGGCTTTCACCCGCTTTCGCAGGGTCTTTTCCCCCTTCGCCGAGAGCCAGAGGTGCTCGAAGCTCTCCTTCGCCTGGTTTCTGTTGTTACTGTGGATTCAGTAATAGGACCCATTTCTTGGTTTTGAGTGCTGTGGGACATCCAGCTGCGTTTCCTGCGATTGCTGGAGCTTGCCCATCTGGTTCTGGGGCTGATTGGATCAAGGTGAAGCCTTTCCCTTCAATATATATATTTTGTTCGATGTAGTTGAGAGTGTGTTGAGAATGCGTTTCTCGCGTGACGATTCGATATTTTACTTGGGGTGAGCGTGTTGAGATGATTTCCTCCTCTCAAGAAATTCTGTTTTGATTGTTGACTTGTTGGTTTGTTGTTGGTTCCGATGTATAAATCTCTCGAAGTTGGGTAGTGCGTTTTTGCAGCCTGATGTTTTGCGCTTTGGGGGAGTGGCTCTTGTTTGCAGTGGTTTTGTGGTGCTGAAACTGCCCTGATCTCTATGCAGTGGGTAGAAATTAGGAGCATAGCGCTCCGTTTATGTTTTCGGATTCCATTGAGATGGCCGTGAAGGGGTTGAAGATGGCGATCCCAAGAGCCCTCGTGATGATCATCCTCCTCGGCTTGATTGTTAGCATCGGGTCAGTTGTTAGGGCAGACGATGGTATTTCCCCTTCAGAAGAGAATGTCAACGAAATTGTTTCTCTGAAATCTGAGCTCCTCCTCCTCGAGAAGGATTTGAAGACTAAGGAGGCGATTTTGAACGACAAGGAGTTGAAGATCAGCGAATTGGAGCGAGAGTTGAAGAACCTTCGCTCTCACAAGGATGAATCCCAAGACCATGGGCTCATGCAACAGAAGATACAAACAGCCGAGTCTAAGGCGCGTGAATTGCAGGACCAGTTACAGTCTCTCCAAGAGGAATCCCGCAGGCTTAGAGAGGAGGCACGATTACACGCTGAAAAGGCAAAGTCTCAAGAAGAGACTGCAACTTTGCACATGACGGACAAAGAGAAAGTCATCAAGTCGTTGGAAGACCAGAGGATCCGTCTCCAGAGGGCTGAGCGTGGTCTCCAGATCGCCGAGGCTGCCATGCTGAAGGCAAGAGCCGAAGCAGAGGAGAAGTCGAAGAAGCTCGATAAGATTCACCGGGCGTGGTTGCCCTTATGGGCTGCCACTCACGCAGAGATTCTCCAGAAAATTGCCTCCTCTCGTTGGTCTACTCGCGGAGAGCCTGTGGTGAAGAGCCTCCAGAGATCAGCGTCTTCCAAAGCCGCTGATGCCCATGAATTCATCAAGCCCCATCTCGAAACTTTCCAGACCAAAGTGAACCCTGTGATTAGACAAACATGGCAGCAGGCCACTGAAGCTGTTGCTCCTCACCTTGAAACTGTGAAGAAGACGGGCATCCAAACTCGCAAGTATATTGCTCCACATGTGGAGACAGTCCAGAAGACTCTCAATCCTTACGTGAAGGTACGAGTCTTCATTGTATCAGCAATTAATCCTGTTTTTATTGTGCTGTTTATTTTAATCTAGTTCAGTGCATGGTATAAGGTCATAACTTGGCATTAGCTTCATTGCAGTCTGCCAAAGAGAAGAGCAAGCCCTACGTCGAAAAGCTTTCGACTTATGCAGCTCCCCATTTGGAGCGAGTGAACACCATAGCAGGCCCGCACTACCGCCAAGCTCTCACAGCAGCCAACAACTACCACGAGCAAGTGCAGAGCTACTTGAAGGAGCTATTGGAGCAGTACGAGTTTGTGTCGCAATTCGTGACGAAGGAGTCCATTTGGTTTTTGGCCGCTGCGGTTCTCGCTCTTCCTTTCATGCTAGCTTTCATGTTCCTCAAAAGGCTTTTCGCACCCAAGCAGGTCGTGCAACACAAGAGGCACCGCAGCTCCCACAACGGCACCTCTTCCTCTAACAAGAAGCCCCGGAGGTCCAGGCAAACAGACAAGCTGGTGGAGAAGAGGTAGCTATCGGTTAAACCTCAACTCTCCATGCCATGTTTATGCACACAGGCAATCCATCTCCCACTGTTCCATTGCTACCTCCCTGGCATCTGGAATCAAAAGCCAGATCCTGGGAGCTGGTTAACATAGCTATTCCGGAGCAGAGACAGAGCGGATCCTTAAGCCTTCAAATGTAGCATGCGCACCTCTCTCCACACTCTACTCCAGTTCGATTATCATGTAAGAGAAAAAGATGGAGCTGCTTATGTCAATTGTTGATACATGGCCCTTGTTATTTGCGGAGAGCTTCATCAAATGTCTTTGAACATTAAATTTCCTGAATTTCAAGGAACAGAGGTTTGTATGAGCTCCCCATTTTTCACTCACTGATTTCTCAGCAGTTTAGTGGGCACCCACAAATTTGCATTAGATTATGGTTTCAGACCCTACACAGAAGCTTGGTTTTCTGCACATACAGGTACAGATAGGTTTGTAAGAGTTAGTGTAGAAAGTGCTGTGAACTGCAGTTGACATCGGCAACTCTTTTTTATCTTTCTGAATATCTGTGACAGCATGAGGAGCATTTAAGCGATTGTCTTTCTATGAATTGGCGACTTTGTGTTCGATTTTTGATTTGTGTGAAGCTAGCGTTGAGGCTTCTTTTAGGGTTTCTGTGTGGCTTGTGCCTTTTAGGCGCAAGTCATGGGAGTTCTTTGGACTTCAAGCTGTTGAAAACAGTAGAAAATGTGCTTGGGTGATGAGTTTCAATGGCTGGATGTCCAGTGTCTGCACCCACTACAGCGAGTCTCTCTTTCGTTTTTCCCTTCTTGGTATGAAAAAATAATCTAAAACTGCTAAATTTTACTGACAACAGAATATTTTTGTTCATATTTAGTCTTGAACAAGTTATTAGAATTAAAGATAAACTTATTACATCAGACATTTTTCAAATCTTAACAGTGTATTTGAATAAGATTGTTGGAAGCATATTATGTTTAAAATAGTATTTAAAAGGGAAAATATCATTTATACCCTTCAAATATGTTGAAATATGAAGAATACAAGAATATTTTTGACAATAGCAAATCTATATCACTTCTTTGATAATATCAAATCTACTCTTAATACATCACAACTATTCTTTTTCAAGCGCAACTTGGCTCAGACTGCATGCCAAGTAGAAATCAATGGGCCTTCTTGGGCACTTTTTGGCACAGAAACTACTGTTGAGCGGCTGTGGCTGTGACAGATAGTTTTTGACTCTTAAAAAACTTGTAGGTAGATGCTTCAAAATGTCACAGTGGTATATATGATATTTTTCTTAACCTCAGTTTCTTTTGCTTGTGATATTCAATTTCCAAGCTTCAAGCTATGAAAACAACTCACAAAATTCTCCCTTCGGCTTTTCTCATCTATAAAGCACAAATAAATATACCAAAACATTCCAAAGTTTATTGATCTTTTTTGCACTTGTCGATTTGAATTTTATAATCCAATTCTATTGCAGCATCATTAATAGATCATGTGAAGAGTGAGCAGGGATCAATTTCTTTCAATCGTGGATTTAATGCATTCCACATTTGTAGCAAGTTTATCGAGTTGCTCATATGTCAACTACATCAGCATCTTATTCTCTTGATCCAAGTTTGTTGAGTTGATGTCTTGATATTTTTATGACTTATATAATAGGAACACTTGCAAGCACAATTTGTAATGAATTATTTAAATTATGACTTGTGATACAAAAATTGATACAATATTTTCCACGGAAATAACATGCAATGTCTTGATAAGGTCACGTTGGTATTGGAAATGTCATGTGATTTCAAAAAAATAAAATTGTTCTAGATAAAAACACTCTTTATTGAGTTCAAGTCAAGTTCTTTATTATTGAATAAACCAAGTTTATGCACAAAATCATTCTCAAGTAATTCATTACAAACCAATATGCTTAAAATGCTATAGAGGGACATAACATGGATTACGAGAACATTGTTACTCAAAAAGATCACAATGGACTCTAGACCTGCATTTCTCGATAGTTTCTGCCGCATTATTCTATATGTGATATTAATCTACTAACTGCAAGCACATTTGAGGTATGTATTTTTTTTAATTTCTCATGTGAAATTGCATGTGCTCATAGATCCTACATTAATTCGAGTAGCTACTTTCAATTGCCACCAAGAGTGAACCTTGAAGGATGTCTATGGGCATGTCAACATCCTTAACAAGAGATAATGTTTTTACCATCTTATTTTTTAGTTGCTAGGTGTGGCAAGCAAGGAGCAATGTGCCAAGTCATTTGGTAGTCTAGCATCATTTATTATTAGTTGCAGGCTCATTCTTGGTTCTATTGCATTTCAGCCAAGATCACCTCTCAACTGCAAAAAACTTAGCAAATAATTGAAAGATAATGTACTCTCTGAAGCAATTCTCACTTGTGTCATCTTGATACGTTGCTTTGCTTCAAAGAATAACCTATTCACCACCATAGATAAGGTGTAAATTAACCAAGTATTGGTGCAAATTGGAAGAAAGAAGTTGGACTGAAGGGTGGCATATTGAATGTGCATGGGATGGATGATTATGGTGTAGAGGAGATTGATGAATTGCATCAAGGGATTGTTTGATGCAGCCTTGAGAAATGGTGAAGGTGGAGGTGTAGTATGGAAAAGGTCATCCAAGTGAAGACGTTGTATAATAGCTTGTAGAGAAATGCGAGGGAGTGGCACAAGTGTTCATGTCATCAAGACAATTAAAGGTAGCAAGTGCTTCCTAGCAACAATTTCCTATGCCAAAAAGTACCAAAGAAGGTAGTTAATTTCTTTGCAACATATAAGTTGGACCTTACTTGCATTTTAAAAAATAGTTGTGATATCTTATTAGGTTGAAGGATAGATTTGATGTTATTACAAAAGTAAGTAATAGATTTGTTATTATCAAGATTATAAGGATATTCTTAATATTTTAACATATTTTAGGGATATATATATATATATATATATATAGATATGATATTTCTCCTAAAGTTTTTAATAATAAAGAAGAAAAAACTTTAGCTACTAAATACAAATAATAAAGACAAAAACCAAATGGTTATTGATTGTAATATAATGAAAAGAGAAGAATAGTACACACATCTAACCTTCAGATTGGTATAAGATTGTATTGCTTTTATTTGGTCAAATTACCATGCATAGTATAAAAAAATAATAATTGAATTTAAGAAAACCAATATAAAATGCTCCAAAAAAGTTTCAAGGTGTATGAAGGTTAAAAAATTCTATATCTATAATACATTTCAAATACCTTCAAATTGGAAGAATCAACTTTAATGCAAAAAGGTATTCCAATTGAAGTACATTTATAGAAAATACATTGAACATAACACTAAGTATTATAACTTTTATACAAATTTTATATTAATATGAAACCAAATTTTATTTAAATATAATATAAGATCACACTTACTTCTATATTTTTGAGCTTATAAATTTATGCTGCAATAAAGTTCAACTTCACATATTCAATGATCTTTGGCTTTTGGATAATAAGATAGTAATGTATTATTTTAATGCTAAAAAAACATTAGACATGGAGATGATAAATCTTCTAGTTTCTTTACTATATTCAAAACAACTTGCTCATGACATCTTTTACATCCATCAATTACACATGCTCCACTCTACATCTACAAATCCTACTTCACATACATTCTATCATACATATACACTACAATTCCTTATATCTAATCCAACTTCTACATCATTGTACCATTCAAGACTCTAATGTGTAAAGAATCAAATTACCACTCCCTCATACAATCTACAAACGTCATGTATCATCTCAACTTTCACCATACTTCTATTGATGTCCATAAAACAAACATGTAAATGAACTACAATACCATTATTTTATATTTGCTCAAATAAGACACTTCACTTATTAATCTATACACAAGTCAAGAAGTTGAATCACAAGGTCAAAGTTGACATGACATATAAGAAAGAAAATATATGCACATCATAATAACCATTTTCTTAACTTGTCACTCTCATCACTACGTCTAAAAAAATATCACATGTACTTCTAATCTATGGATTAGTTTTGTTGTCCAAGCCTTTACCACATATTCAATGTTGATACATATATTCTATAATTCATTTATGCTTTATTAGTCAAGATACTCTACCAACACATTTAGCCAAATAAAAATACATAAATATTCAAATTTAATTACCATAGTAAAGCTCTACACATATAAAGCTCATCAAACCTAAAAGATAAAGTTTGTGATAACATACCTAAAGTATTTTCTATAGAAAATAACTTAAAGTCTATGCCAAGAATAATAGTATAAACTATGCATAATATATTAATTATTTTGTTTTAAAAAATACTTATCTTGTTCAAAATAAAATCTTCCAAAAAAATAATTTTAGACTTGATAGGTCAAGCTTGATTAAATTCACAATAATATCGAGTTATAAAAAAAAATAGCTGAGATGATGAAAATATTGAAGCCTTTGAAAAAGATAGGAAAATATCAAAAATAAATTGTAGCACTATAAATGAAATGCAAAATATTAGATGTAGTTCATAAAAAGAGTAAAGAGAGATGCATAAACTACTCAAAAGCAAAGAAGATGCCTCAACAAAATAATGAAGATGTCTTCAAGCCTATCTTTAAGCACCTTCAAATACATCTATTAAGCTTACTTTGAATGTGAAGTAAGTGATGTAAAGGATTTATATATAAAATCAATTAGGCTTAGATTTTTTGAGCCCAAATTCACCACTCAATAAAACTAATGCCATACAACAAGTTCAAAAGGTGGAATAAGACAGCTTCCAATTGTGGAATTGTTAAGTTGATTTAAATCTTAGTATTAATAATTCAATTAAATTTAAGCCTTCCAAGCAATGATTACCAAAATAAATAAATAAATAAATAATGAAATTACTATGATCTTCAAGGCTATTTGCAGGATGCCTACTTAAATTTCAATGGATTCTTCAAGTTCATTTATATAATCTGTGATTACTAATTTTTATGTGATTAAAAACGTATAATTAATCAAAGTAGATAAATAATTATTTAATTGAAACTTATAAATTATTATTCCTTAAATCACTAATGGTGAAAGTAATTGATTAAATTATTACCACTAATTCATAGTAAAAGTAAAAAAATCTTAAAAGTTGAGTTAAGAATAAAAGTTAAAATTTGGAAGTTGAAAGTTAAAAGTAAAAGTAAAAGTTAAAAGTTAAAAGTTGAAGTTAAAAATTAAAATATAAAAATTTGAAATATGGAAGTTACAAATTATTGTAAAATAAAAGTAAAAGTGGGGCTGAAGAGAGATAAAAGCCAAGGCACCTTGACAACATCCAAGAATTGAGGGCAGCAACCCATTTCTACTCCAAAATTTTCCAAAATTTATGATTAACTCCAAATTGAATGATTTTTAGTTTATTGCAAATTTAACTTGAAGGCGTTCTTTCTCTAATAATTTTAAATTCAATCTAGTACCTAAGCCGCGAGAAATGCTCCTTCAAAGTTGAGTGACCAAGACTGCCATGGTAGGCTATCTCCCTTCACTTGAAAATTAACCAAAAATTCAATTCGTCTTTTAATTCAATGAAATTTATGCCATTAGAAGTTCAGCTTGAAGATTCATTTACTGTAAAAATTTCACAATAATCCAATTAGAAGATACTGAGAAATTCTTTTTCAAAGGTGGTTGATCTAAACTGCCAAGGCAGCCGACCCCTGCGCGTTCAAAATTCCACCAAAAAAATTCTCTTACTTTAAAACAAGCAATCCTTATCTTGTTGGAAAACTAACACCAAAGGCTACAATCACAAAAAAAATCGCATTGAAACACAAAAAATTGGATGACTGATTAAAGGAAATCCGAGACTCTTGAATCCTTGGGATATTTGAGAGGTCGAGGGAGCTATCTATTACAAGGACCATTATTCACTACTCAAGATTCATGCATACACAACCACAAGTATAGAATGAGATTAAAAATCAATAAACAAAATTAAGATTAGAGTTAAGGCCAAAATTTGGCATAACTCGACTCTTCATCAAAAGAGGAAAGAAAAAGGGCTTGGAGAACCAAGCTACTCTTATAAAATTGAGTGGTGGGTTGTAGAAGGGCGGCCACATCTCCACCCTTTAACTCTAAGACCCCTAATGTAAATCTATGGTCTTAATTCATACAAGAGCCAATTTCGTTACCAATGTTGATAACTCTTGTAAGTGGACAAGAAAGCACCTTTTGATAAATCTAACTTCACCATTGTATTCAAAACACCTTTTCATATTAAAATCAACTATTCACATGCCTCAATCCATATTCAATTGCAATTTTTATGAAAGTTTTTACTTACAAGGATCTTGGTAATTCTTATAAAATCCTTCAAAATAAGAATTTTATTGCTCCACTTGTATTTAGAAGAAGAGGGTGCCGATCTTGTTTTGTTCACTCCAAGGAGTGAATCCGGTGCCACCATTGCATTAAAAAGGCTTCCATTAATTAGAAGAACCACTATGTCGCTTAAATTTGTTGAATTGGAGGAAATTTCAAAATTGTCATTGCTAAACTTTACTAAATCTTTTAGAAAATTATGATTCTAACTCATTCTAAATCATGTGAAATGATTATAGGTGAACTTATAGGCTTTTAGACAACCCTCATAGTAGTAACTAACAATCTCTAAATTATTAAAACTAACTAAGTTTCTATTCTAATTTTCTAACTCTTATCATTTTGATCGTAGTTAATTTAATTCAAGGAATTAGGCTATAATTTATACCATCAAAGGTTGTAATCCTAAAAATTCAATAAAACTAAATTCCACTTATATAAATCCTAACCTAACATGTTTAATCATCATTAAATAAGAAAATAATAAAAATTTAAATTTTAGAGCATAATTGAGAGTTAACAGATTTCTAAGGTTACCATATACATCTACATTAAGCAGTCAATCTATTCAAGTTGTCAATCCATCCATATTAAAGGAAATATTAAGTACTACATGTATAATGACATAAGCTCTAAAAATCCTAAACCTCTCAATTGAATGTATTATTGTTAATACTGTTATTTTATTTTTTTTCTTGTCTTTAAAGTCACAAAATATTAAGTGTATGTATGTAAGAACCTTCCTTCTTTTCAACTAATTGTAGCTCACATGCATATTTTTGTTAACAACTGAGGCATATACATCAATTATAAAAGAATCTATAGTATTATATTTTCATTGATCAATTAATTAAATATGAGTCTTAAGTAAAATCTTTATTTTTAATCATTGATAAAACAAAAATAAATTAAATTTGAAACTTGAGCACTTTGGATTTACTAGTTATTGCTTCTAAAGTATTGAGGTTGATTCTATCTAGATTGTGCATATTATAGAGTTAAATTAATTATATAAGTATGCTTGTCAAATATGATATCTTGGTAAAGTCTTAATTTCAATGTAAGTTTGTTGGACTTTGTGGATTTTTATCAAATGTACAAGAAAATTAAGACATTTAGCATTAATTATTGTGTATTTTGATATCAACAATCTATAGAACATTTTCTTCTTAGAAAGTTCTCAATGATGGTATTGGTAGTTGTATTTGTACACCATATGGAGATTGTAGCCTTTCTAAAGATTTAGAATTTATTTATTGTTAATCAATTGCTTATGGTTGTATCATCATAAAATACTATATTTCTAAAGAATGCTTTTCTTTTAAAGATCCATAAGTAAGAAAAATGCAGTTGCATTAGATAATACTAATTGCAATAAAATGAGTTGTAGGTTTGAAAATCCTAAACATTAGAAAGTAACATGCAATTGAAGATTGAATCTAATTCTACTAAGGTTGCTAATGTGTTAAAATACTATTGTAGTCAATTAAAGGATTATTTAAATAACTATAGCATCTTTCTTCTATATATAATGTCTAGAAGTATAAGAAAGATAGGAATAGATCATAAATTGGGCACAGGTTGTAGAATTAAAAAATGAAGCTCCTTAAATTGTAGAATTAGGATTTTATTCTTCATTTAATTTATAAAATTTTACATTTTCTTATTAATTGCACAAAAACAAGGTTATAAGTTTATGACATAAAAACAACATCTATACCAACAATATTATCCTGGTGTATATTTTTTCATTCATTCTTGAGTGTGTGTGTGTATGTATATATATATATATATATATATATATGAACGAGTTTCGACCACCTGTCAAGAGCTGGACGAAACACAACCCTAAAGCGAGCTCTAATCCAGCGACGACCATCCGTCCGGATTGGCGACAAGCGTCAAAGTGCCCCCCCCCCCCCCACAAACGGGCAGAGGGAACGAGGCCCCAAGGAGCAAGGAATGCAGGGAGCGAGAGAGGGCGATGGCGCAGGCGGCGCAAGCGGCGCAATCAGCCCTGGTTGCAAGAGAGTGCCAGAGATCACCGGCAGGAGCGTGCCATTGGTAGCCCGGCTTTCAGGAGAATACCCAGTTGACCTGCCGTTCATTTGCCTGATGACCCTCCTGCTCGTGTTGAATAGCCTGCCATTGTGGCTCCTCCAGTCCTGGAATCGGCAGAATGGGCTGATTTATCATTGATGAGCATGCTATCCCCTTCCCAAAAGAGGTGAGATGCTTTGGCACTTTCACGCCTCGGATGGTCGCCTCCTCCCCCCAATTATTCTGGACAGATTTATTGTCCAACATACTGCTGCCGCGATCCCTCGGCCCTTCAGACAGGTGCCAGTGCTTTGCAGTGCGCTGTGTGTGTGTTTGTGTGCTTGTAGTTATTTTAATTATTTTGTCAATTGTTTCTTTTTTTTGTTTCTCATGCCTGCTCCAACGGAAACATTAGTTTGGGTCGGATTGAAAAGGTCACTGGCGACTTTTAGGAAGATCTTCGAACTGCGCTGGTGTGGAGACGCTCACGTTTCGCTGCAAAAGGTCTGCTATCAGTTTTGTAACTGCATCCACCATTCCCTAGGAGATTACGACGAATTTCCAGGTGGCAATTCCTGGATAAGACTGAATTTTACGGATTCATTGTGTGTGGAGTTTACGTCGACATTAACCTCGTGTTGATACGTGAGAATATATATGCTTCTTCTGAGAAGGGTAGAGACTTGCTCTCTATGAAGGAGGAATTAAATGTAGCTGAATATAGTGTTGAGTGGTGCACTGGCACATATGGTTACTTTAGCTTATTATCTTCAATTAATTATCCTTTGACGAATACATCCATAACAAGCATACATACTACCTGTAATCATATAAGATTACAAGATTACAAGTAGTATGTATTTTTGAATCATACATACTAGTATTCTTTGAACTAACGGAATGTATATCAGCTTGCAAATTCTCATACGGGTGACCACAGCGAGTGAATCAGGTAGTGTAACACATAATGCACTGAAATTAAGCGAGGGAGAGTAGGAGGCCTAACGTGCTGCGCTATACGAAACAAGAGAGTGGTATCTCATTCGTGAGACGCTATGGTTGAATCAATCTGTATCCGATGCACACGGATGGAAGCACCGAGAAAGCGACTGAGTTCACGGACTGAAATATACATTATGACAATAGCTAGATACTGAAAAACTTGGAAAAAAGCTGCTCGAAATCACAGACGTGATTCGTTTCTCTCTCATTAACTCAGAATTGAGACAACAAATGTCAAAAAGGACCTCATACGTGTTACCAACACGCATATCCGATAGCCGGTTCCAACGTCTACACAAAATATTGTTTTTAAAATATGTTTTATCCATATACAATGGATTCACAAAGAACTACAACTGACCTGAACCCTCATTATCCAAACTGGCCATGACTGTCGCTGAGGTCGAGTTACAAAATTGGATCAACCTATTTATACTGTGATATTCACAAGCAGCCTACCTGTTGATATTTTAACACTAATTCTTTCGTCGAATGCTCGGAGCCACAATGGGTGGTGGTGTCGAAGTGGTGCACGGGGGACATTGACTAATAGACACCAGACAAAGCTTCTGCTTAAAGAGCTGCTGCTGAAGGACCTCCGACAGGATAAGGGGACTCGCTGCTGCCCTTAAAGACAATGTTGTAGATGAATCGCCCTCTAGATTGGTGTTGCGCTTTCGTTTCAGCCCATGGACCATGTTACCCTGGAGGGAGAGAATCTGATCAGTTGGTACAATTGCTGGTCTGTCTTCAAGGGTATTACTTTCGAGAATCTGAACCTGCAGCTGAAGGAATTTTACGTATTCGATTGCTTCATCCAGCATAGTGGCCGTGTCCATCTTGTTGCCTCCCGGAATAAGCTTCTCTAATACCCTTATCCTCTCACTAATTTTCTTCCGCCTATGCCTTGCGGCAACGCTCTGTGGTTCCACTGAGGTTGCTACAGGCTTACCGTTATACGATCTGCCCTCCTCTTGCAAACATGATCGTTGCGAATAGGAAGATCCACTCGCACCTGTGAGAAGAAACGACGATAACTTCCCCTGAAACGAGAGATGCCGACTTGGGATTGTTCTCGACAACGAACTCGGCTGTAAGGAGTCAATCCTCAAACTCGATTTTGAACCAACAGCGTATCGCGCAAGGTCATTCTGGGCTGATCCTTGTCGAAGAGCCTCATCCCATGTTCGCGGACGTTTGAACTTGGGGATATCAGATGATGATGCCACAGAAATAATCTCGTGAGACTCAGAGTCATGTGATAATGCCACAGATGTTTGCAACGAATTCCTGCCGATATCAGTGCGTGATTGATTATAAATCCAAGGTTCTTGAAAAGGGAGGAGTGTCACTGCCTGATCTTGCTTCAGAACATCTTGATGCTGCCTGTGGGGCTGGAAATTGCTGTCGTGAGAGTCTCTAACCAGGGTTACCGAGGAGGATTCATTGAGGTTCGTGAGCGAGTTCTCATAATTGGCCGGAGCACAACCCCCGCTGGTCTCCGACCTCCAGGTCTCTGTAGTCGACAAGCTGTCGCTCCCTGAGGAACTCACTACTTGCAAGCAGTCGCTTGATGTGGGCAAAGTAACTTCAGATTGGACACTGAGTCCATGAAGGATGTTAGGCTGGGTAACTGGATCCACGAAGGATAGATTAGCGTATCCATACTGATCTTGATACAATGTTGAGTACAATTGAACTAATTGAGAAACCTCGTAAGATACTGAAGGATTGTATGGATCGGCATTTAGAGATGACAGCATCTCCATCTGCCCTAAGGTGCTGTAGCCTGCATGACTGTACTGCAAACTATGCTGAAGGCAGCTCTCAGCCTGCCAAAAATTCAGCGGCTCCCCGCCAATCTGCTCATTCAAAAGCTGAGCGTGATCTGTAGCCGACCATGATATTGGCGTTTGAGCACAGTGACTTGGTATGAGCTGCTGGTAAGCCGGAGTAAAAGAATTGCAACCGTGGACGCGACTGTCATCAGAGAACGGAGCGTCAAGAGGCATGATCCCACCATGCACATGATGCATATCTCCCATCATTTTAAATGCGGCACCTCAAGTCAAGAGTTGGAAATATATCTGGTTTTTGGAAACCTGCAGAAGTTTCTCGGCAATGACTTCACCTGGTGCAGCGAGGTTGCCAGGCTCAGGCCTGTGCCAAAAAATATGAGAGAAAGGTTCTTCACTTCCAGCAGTGCCGATGTTAGGAGGGATGAATTGAGAAAACGATCGAGCAGGCGTCTCTGCTCGTCCAAGCCGAGGCTCTCAGAATGCTCAAGAGTAGGAGCACTGAAGTTGAGGTAGACGATCAAAGGTGTAGCAGGATAGTATCACGATGATAACTTCAGGACCAGGAGAATCGGGTGGAAGAAAGAAGAGTAACTGTGAATCACCATTTACGCTGCAATGGAGGCAGAAACGGTAACAGCTTTCTTCGAAAAGAAATTCGATGGAAGCAAGCAACGGGTGAGAAGGCTGTAGTAGCAGACACTCAAAGCTATCGCTGACAGCCAAACAAGAAACCCACGACGCAACAGAGACTGCCCGTAGATGGGATCGAGCAGGTCGCTGCAGACGGACCCAAGCCACTCACAACCAGGGCATCAAGGCATTACACTATTGACAAAAGAGAGAGAGCTCGCAAGGAGATCCTGGATCTTACACCTCACACCGAAAGTCCATCCGACTAAACGAAAGCCCTGACAACCTTCCAATACAGCAACTCCAGAGAATTAAGAGAGTCGGCATTCTAGATCACGGAAGAATTTCGCAGCTACCAGCATTACACCGCACAGACGAAGATTGCACTGCTAACTTCGTGCAAATTTTCCAGAAGGGTGCCACATGCCAGACTCGCCGACCTAACGAACTAAATCAACCCGTAACCTCTACACAGCGTTCACGTCCCAATCAACTATTCCCTTCAAGATCGCAATCCTACAAGGACCCAAATTAAGCACGGCTGCAACATCCGCCTCGCAGCGAAAATTCCAATCCCCTCATTCTGTACCCTCGACACAATCACTAATCAGTCTCCCATCGACACAGAGATCGTATCCTGCGCATGTTCATGTATCGCTTTCAACATCGCAGCGCGTCTTCTTGTGTACCTCACCAAATTAAAAAACCATGCCCGCAAAGTACTCGGCCCCAAAAATATCCGTCGTTCGACCCCAATCAGCGCAGTCGAAGAAGATCCAGAAAGAAATTCGCAAGACGCGACACGAAAACCAGCCCACCCTGAGGACGGAAGCGCGCAGCCAGTCGGTCGTAGGAATGAATCCCAGGGGCGCGCGAACTCTGAAATAGTGCTCATAATCCACCGCAGCATACAGCACACATCTGCGCGGAGACAAAGCCCGAAGACGAATGCATCGATCTCGGCGGAGCGCGACGAAAGCTCCTGCGCGGATGAACGAAATTTGAATATAGGGTACGATATCGTCCACTTCTGCCTCTTCTTCTTCTTCTTCTTCTTCGTCGGTTTTCAGATTTTATTAATCAATTACGAGATCAACTAAGATTGATCGCGTACCGATCCCGCTTTACGCTTCGAACGAGGCTCCTATCTCCAGAACGGTTCCGTCCAGAATTGTCGTTGAGGTCGGAACTCCTGCTGCAAGCACAGACTCGCCCCTCCCTATCTACCAATCCCTCACATCTACTCTTTCCTTTGTTGCAAATGTTGGTTTCGTGGAGTTCTGATGTTGGATCTATGAGACTCGTGCGATTTCGGAGTAGTGGTGGAATGCGAAGGAATCTCCAGCCAAAGAGCGCATTACTGATGCGGGGTTTTTGTGAATGCTCTGTCAGTGCCTGGAGCAACAAGTTTTGGTGTTTTCTGCTTTTGGGCCTCTCTCACTACGTTGTTTTGCAGGTTTAATTCATTGCAGGGGTTTTCTTTTTTAAAAAAGTATGAATTAAACTAAAGTTAAAGCTTGCTGCCTAATTTGGCACTTAAAGCAGGGAAAGAAATGCACAGGCACACTCGGCGAGAGGGCGAGGTTCGGTGTCCCTGGACTCACTCTCTTGTACCCCGATACTGGAACCTCCATACTGCGCCGTCGTCCAATAATCCAGGTCTTCGTCGGGGGCTTCGTCCAGCGGTCGGAAACTCTGAGGTGGACTGGGGTGACTGGAGTGGCTGTTATGAATAGCCGTGTGAACCGTTGAGGGTCTCGAAATAAGTAACCCTTTCAATCCCCATATGGTACCCACGGGCATACCCGAGATTTTTTATTTTTTTACTGGGGAGTGAGGTGGTAAATCCCCCCCCCCCCGGGGAGGAAAGTTCCTGCGCTATTGATGCACGGCTGTACATGGCTGTACACGGCTGGGCTTTTAATATGTTCGGAAACTGTCAGATGAATGCGAGTAACTGTGGCTGTTTGGCCCCCTTAAATGAACCAAGCAAATCACCTCGGTATTATAACTCGCACTGCGCTTTCTTTTTGTCATTACTTTGCCCAATTCAAAAAACAAACCCCAAGTCTCTCTTTGTCAATTTCCGTTCTCTTGTTTGAGAGAGATAAATTTACCATACTTGTAAAAAAATCAATGTCGTAAGAATTACTGTGTGGTAAGTAAAATACGACGTAAGGAATGAAGATAGGATGAATAGGGCTGTTCTCAATTTCTGCGCATATGACTTCATCGAAATAGATCACCTTGTAACGAATGAAGCGGTTCGCCATTCTTCATCTAAAATTCCATGGTTTTCCCACGTGTCAGCATGGAGGGATTCATTCCCCCCACAACGCCAACATCCATAAAAATATCAGATAGCTATGCAGGCAGCTGGCGTGCGCCAGGTGGCAATACGAGATTGGACATTGCCAACTCGGATATTTGGCGGGTGTGGCCCACTGCTCGTCGAGAAGATTGTGGGTGTCTGTCACGGAAGCGGAATTTCAATAGAGAACTGTTGGATCGAGTTTATGGTTATAGTGACCATGGACGAATGGGGAAATTGGCCATTTGGATGACGGTGTGACATTCGTCTTACCTACATTTGGCGCATTGATTCTCCTCGATGCTGTGTGTCAAGATCAAACCTATCCACATCCATATCAACTATATTTATATTAATATTCCATCGTAATTACAGTCCATTTACAACAATTACATGCACAAAAAATACCTTTCAAAACCAGAATAAATCAATAATTTTAAAGTTTATATCTAGGTTGTATTTGTAATTATTACATGTAACTGAATGAAGGCAAAAAGATTGTATAAGAACACACATGAAGATCAATATGTCACCACCACTTTGTAAAGTGAATGCGGTGGGGGGATGAAATTGTTTATTTCTCATTGGCAACATGAGAACCAGTTTTTTCATGGGGGATAGTTAGCCCTTTCAAGGAGTTACTGATCTTTTGTTGCACACAATGCATACCTGGGCCCTATCTAGAAGCTACTAGAAAGAAACCAACTTCAAGCAATGAAGGCAGCAAAGGCTGTTAGCCCCTCGCATTTACACACATACTTAAAATCTGGGAAGTTTAGATCAGGCTTGAGTGGTACTAATTTTCTTGTTAGAGGGAGAAATGAGATTTAGGGTTCAATGGTAGATGGAAGCCATGAAGGAGGGGGGGAATAAAGTAAACAATAAAAATAGTACACTTGGGATTTGCTTGTCCTTTCTCCACAAGAACTTAAGGTCTCTCTTGGGTGGCAATGTGTGTTTGCTGTTCAAAAACTTTAGACTTTTTGCTCTGTTTTTATTACTATTACTATTACTATTATTTTTTTACTTTTGCTGTTTTTGAGGGCTGGGCTGTGGTTCATATGATTGCCCCCCCCCCTTCGCTGTGTTTGGGCAGTCCTTGTGGGTACTTGGGTTTGTATCCTTGTACTTGGCTTGAAACAGATAAGGACTCGATCATGGGGGCTTGCCCTTGATATTTCTAGGGTTGGTACCCAGGCTTGGGTCTTGGCTTGGCTTTGTGGTGGTTCTGGCAATCCAGATTAGCCTGTCAATGGAACCTACTTTGGTTTCAAAGTGTGTAACTCATGAAACTTCAAAGCCATTGCAACTTAGGGTTTCAAGAAAATCATCTAACTGTAATTGTTTTCACTGGAGCAAAACATGTACCTACTATTACTAGAATGTAACAGAATGTGGTGACTGAAAATTCAGCAAGAAAAATGATAATAGGAATGTGGTTTGAACAAGAGCTGTGTTATAGAGTATGTAGGCTTTTGGGTAGAAGGCCCCTTGTCTTATTGAATTAATATCAGCTCGTCCAGACACACATTACCAAATTCTTTGGTGGGTGTCTCCTTTTTGGCTTTAAGCGAGGCCTAAAAACTGATATATTTTCCATGTAATCTCCCGCAATCCTGTGCATACACTTGTATTGTTTTTGTTGTTGTAGAGACCACAGACAGTTTTATTTTGTTGATTTCGCAAAATGTTTTGTGCTTCCATCCATTTCAATCAGTCAAGTTTTTAATAGAAGTAGCAAGGACTACAAATATATTCTGGTTCTGGATTCTCATTCCAACACAAATTTAATTGCTAACTGCTCTGGAGGGCCCCATTAAATGAGAACCAGCCAAAGGGAAAGATGTCCATTGTGGAGACAAGACAGTACTTGCAGCATTACTTTTCACTTTTCAAAAACTAACTTTCTCATATACTTTTTCAGTTGTCTTAGGAAAGGACAACACACAAAGCAGAATTCTCCAACTTTTTTCTCCCCCATTGCAATTTCGACATGCAAATTTTTAAAGACTGTTTTGTGGACCAATTGATCCACTTTGCTTAACATTATGAACAGTATCATTGATACGGAAAAAGATATGGTTTAAATTCTCTAATGATCTGGGTTCATTTATTGATGACAAGTTACAAAGCCAAATGAAATGGGTGAGTGACAGAAGGAGGGAGAGAAAGTTTCACAGAAGGTCCTTCTTTATTTTTTATTTTTTATTTTATTTATTTTTGATGCCTTCTTTGCCTTCATGAATCCTCAACAAAAAAGATTACATGGGTTCTGTGCATTAGCATTTGGCTCTCTAACTGTCCATTGAAGATGGGGCTTGGAATGCTGATGGTTAGAGCTTCAATTGTACAGCTCTTCAATGCCCCACTTCCCTCCCACTAAATGATTGAGAAGAATCACCATGCCATGCCATGCTTGTGCCCTTTTTTGTGGATTAGGGTTAGGGTTAGGGTTTTTTCTTTTTGACTTTTCTCTTTCTTCTCTCCCTCTAACCCTATTACCTTAATCCTTGGTCCCATTATGCTCAGAGTCACTTGATGTCATTGAAGGGTACCCATATTTTTTAACCCCTATTTTAAAAACTTTGAGCAGCTTTTGGTATACCATATTCCATTTTCAGTTCACTAAGATCCTCTCAAAGGTTTTTTTCATTAAAATTTCCTACTATAATGTCTTTTATGTACAATGTCAACACAAGGTGAAATGCATGCCATATATTCACACTATATGCAAATAAAGACCACTATTTTCCACCAGACACGGATGAACAGATACAATGGAATGCAAAATGATGAATGAATGAATGATTGCAACAACAATACATGAAAACACTCCATTCCATTCAGATAAAAAAGGAAGGCTAATATTGGCATTTTTATTAGTTTTTATTTTTCATAACTTCCCTTCCCTTTTGTCCTATGGAACTACTCATGAGTTAGAGCGGAAGGGGGGAGCAACAAAACCCAGTTTGAAAGGTACACAGTAAGGCTAAGGCAAAGGGAAGGCAACAAAGCAGCAGCAGCACTCCTGCATGTGTGTGTGAGTCTCCTACTCATGGAAGCAAAGGCCTCTATTATCCAGGTACCCTTGCAAAGCAGCTCTAATTGTCTGAGATGTAAGGGAAGATCTACAAGGGCTTCTTCTTCTTCTACTTCTTCACAAACAAACACACAATATCCCTCCCTGTGTGTGTGTGTGTGTGCCCCCATGTGCACAGAAAAACACAACCAAACTCTGCCTGCTCCACTTGGGCACATGTGTGGAATGGTCTTTAACAGCATGTCAAATTCCTCTCACAGTTACAGCACATGATTGATGTGGGTCTTACTCAAATGCAAAGGGTAAGAAAAACCATATGTTGTTAATAAAGAAAAAAGTGCATTCTAGAAGTATATATATATATATATTCCTTAGTCTTTAATTACATTTACTTGCTAATTGGTATCAAGATGATGAAGTTTTAATTTGTAAATTTAGTAATATATATATATATATATATATATATACATTTCCTTAATTAGCTAATAATGTGTTGTCAATTGCCTATGTGCATACTAAAATGATATTAGGTAAGAAATGTGTGAATGTACATGATTCATATAGGTGTTTTCACAAATTGAATGTTTAAGTCATAAAAAGATGCTGATTTTTGTTTGCTATATTGGAATTTTAAAATAAGATTAGGTTTTATCTGGGGTGTTTTCTTTTTAAGGATAGAAACTTTAATAATTCAAAAAACAAAATCCAAATTTATCAATGCAATTGAATTAGAATATATTCACAATTTCTAATTTTTCAAAAAATTTATATGATTGTTGAGTATTTCTGGATTTTGGAAAAGAAAACTGACTGTTTTACTTGATGACTAATTTTTAATTTTATTTAAATTATATTCATTTTAGTTACTTTTACAACATTCTTTATTATTGAGGTAAACAACTGTAGATTTATGTAGTTTTCACATCAATCCTGTCAAGCGCTTGTTGGATGAGATTAAAAATTTATCTGTAGAGAACGATGCTGTTTAGTCAATTTCAACATTTACAAAAATTCCATAACTTTGTACTATGAAAAACATGAGCGCTTTTGGTTTGAATTTAATTTTCTGAAATTAAGTAAAATTTAAGAAATGGTTTTCTTTGAGAACAGTAACAATTTACAGTAACAGGTATTGATTTTTTTATTATTTAAAACATAAGTTTTACATTATGTGTTCAAAATTTATTAAAATATCCAATAGTACATATGCAACTATCTTTGGTTTTGAAATGGAAACAATCTTTTTTATGATAAGAGGTTTGGAGTTTGGAGTTTGGAGTTTCTTAAGAGTTTTCAGAAAAAGCTTTAATAACTTTATGAATTTATAAAAACAGCTGTAGAGCAAATAGTCAAAATAAAATTCAAAATATCCTTCTATATGTGTTCTTAAAAAAATAAAATAAAATAACATGAAATAAAAATCAAATGATGATTATGTAATGGAATGCAATTTTGCTCCTAATTTATGAAATTGATGATCATAAAATTTGAATGGTATGGAACATGAAAATTCAATCAATTATAGATTGAAGTTTTGCATAATGTGGGAGCTAATATCCATGTGTGTGCCAACTTCATCACACAAAAAGCACTACATAAAATTCATATAAAATAGTGCTCTTTAACTTGCTTTACCAACATTTGGTTTTAAAGTTTGGGATACTATAGATGGCAAAGAAAAACTTGTATTTGTTCATACACATTCTTATAAGAAATATTCTACATTCAAGTTTGAACCTTGCCAACTCATTTCATCCACCCTAGGCCTAAAATAATCCATCTTTTGTCATGTGGGTCATGTACATAAATTACCCACAAATCCATTACTTTGTAGTAATGGAATTAGTACTCTACATAGGGTGGACTTTTAACCAAAGTCTCTTTTTATGCTCCATGTCCTCAAGTCACAACATGATGTGCCATGCATCCCATTCTCCTCCCCACCTTTCCATTTTTTTAATATTAAAGAATGAGAAGGACCTTGAAAAAAGAAAAAAGAGGAATGAGAATATATAGATTTAGAATTTCCCAAGTACAAGGTATTTTTCCAACTCATATTTTCACTTTTTTCTATTGACCTTGTGGAAAAAGGTCAACTGGAGAGTACTTTGATTCACATCAATTGGTTTAGCTCAAATGGGTTGTAAGCCATATCTTTTACCAAGCACTTTGTACATCAAGCATAAATGGATACATAAGGGAAAAAAGACAGAGTAGAAGGGGTCAAGTTTAATTGAGCTTTATGTTCCATGGACACCAAGCAAACCGAGCCTGAATCCTACTTAAAACCTTAACCCTAATTCCTATGAAAGCAGTTGGGGAGAAGCTTTTTTTTGTTGCTGGTTGGCGTTGTTGTTGTTGTTGTTGTCGTCTTCACTTTGTTGCTCTTTTTCTCCAGCATTGGCTTCCTCAAACGTGGTCATCACTTGCATATGATTAGGTTGCAACAAAGTGCTGAGTTAGGGGAGGCTGAAATGGCCATAGATCCCGAGTACCAGCTGCTTTAGAGGGATCTGGATTAGAGTCATTTCTTTCTAGATTTGAGGTGGTTTGAATCCTCGGGGGATTTGGGGCCACTGGGTACATTGTCCTGGTGAGGTACAAGATAATTCACCAAGGAGGAAGGAGAAAAGAAAAAATGATGTGAAAAGGAAAGAACAGAACAGAGGATGAAGCTTTGAGTGGAAAAATGTATCTCAATTCTTTCGTCAAACTAGAGTACAATTGCGGATGGAACCGCTCTTTTTCTGACAAGGAAACCAAGAATGTGTAACTACTACCAACACTAACTATGAGGCCTCCTTGCACTGGAATCTGAATGCACGGGCCTGGATACATTTCATATTCCTTGGAATATAGCTCTTTTACCAACAGTTCCCATCAAATCGACACAATAAAAGAATTATGCACAGCAAATGAGATTTTTCCCCAACGCTTCAGCCCCACAGAAAGATCATTGCAACAATAAGCAACTTCACCTCCTGTACGTAGTAGAGCTCCCGAGGTCTGCTTCCTGCAATGGCCTGTGAGGGTAGCCATGTTCTTCCTTTTGAGAGTTGCAAACCAACTCAGGGCCTGGATACATGTTTTACACATTACCTCGATGACAACGGTGCTTTGGAATTGAGCCGTAGTTGTCTTCGTACAAGGCGTCTCTGCTGGCAGTTTATGGCGAGCAATTCAGAAAACAGAAGCTGCCAGAGAGCCATCTCGTGCATAACTAAGTCGATCCTTCCTGCCCGTAGTCTCGCATGAAAATCGGTACTTCAATAACATCATCATTGAGCACTGATTTTGCTAGTTTTACAAAAACCCAACGTTTGACCGGAGTAAGGTGTACTGAAGTTAGTGGAGCTGCTACTTCGTAAAGCCGATAACTCATCTTCAGTTCTCAAATAAACACCATAATAATTTAGGTGGTCTGCTATGCTATTGCCAGCGACAGATCTGCCATGATAAATCGAAGAATGAGTGCCGTCACATTTTCGAGGAAATCTTCTTTTTTGCTAATTTTCTTTTTACTTTTAAAAGATCATGAAATAGGTCTTTTTCTCAAGGTAGTCAAAAGCCTTTAACCAACACCATATGTCAACAATCTGCAACATGTGCCTAACACACAATCAAGGCTAGTAATCAAATGATGTAGGTGTAGACCTACTGCAGGATGGATCCTCGCCAGAACCGTTACAAACTCGTTCAAACTCTAACTGCAGACGTCCTAGTGTGACTCTGAAGATCCAGACCTGCACCAGTACGAAGCAGAATCTAAGTTGAAGAAGTTCATCCCACTAATGAGACCCACATGGTTTGTTTCAACACTGTGGAAAAGCTAATTAGAGCATCTTTAGAAACAAAGAAAAGTCAAATCCTCCTTGAAGGCCACAAAAAAGATGATCCGACAGGCATGACCAATAACACCCATCCCATCTACAGAAAACACCATGGCGCAAAAGAACATCGAAGTACCTCTGTAGCAAAGTGGTGGTAAGTCTTTTCTCCGATCAGTGGATAATAAGGAGGCAGATGAGGCACTATGTCATTAGCATGCGTTACACGAATTGTCAAAGGAACATACTTATTATAATACACCGAAAAGCCATAATTTCCTACTCGAGGCTGCCCAAATGTGAAGACCTCAATATTCTTTAACCCAAAATTCGCCTGGAAAAACAGAACCCACGGAATCAATAATGCTAAAGATGAAGATGGTGAAGACCTTTAAACAAAACTTTAATGTGCCTTTTTGTGAAAGTCCATGATAACGCCAATTTGATTAGCTCCCGATGATCGAAAAGACGAGTACAAACTACTTTCAGTATTCCCTTATCTGAACAGATTGGAAGTAATACCACTGTAGAACATATTCCTAAACTGACGCAGCACATGCTATATCATTGTTGCATGACTGCTTGCCTCAAACTAGGAAGCTTAAAATTGAATGGGATCTCCCATGATGGTTAGCAAACACACCGAAAGATCAAGTGCACAGAAAGTAGCCATTGCCCCTCCCATCGAATGCCCCGTGACCATAATACCAAGGTCACTTCTGGATTGTTGAATGGCATGTGCTGCATCTACAACTCGCTCTCGTAATGTTGTATTATGATAGGCTGCATAGAATCCTCTGTGTACCTGCAAACCAAAAAAAACATACGAAGGCACAAAAAGGAAGAAGTAAGTACTCGGCTCTATGTTTAAAAGTACACCTGGAAATTACAAAGGTGAGGACCGACGATGCACTGCTTCTCTTAATGTCATGTGCCCTAAATAAACCAGAAGGAGCTAAACTAATTATAACACATGGTCAAGTATGCATCTTGCACGCAAGTAACACCGAATTATTTCAACCACCAAGCTAATCATAAGATGAAGTTCGAAAGATAAAGTAGATGCACTGCTATTGAACTAAAACACTACTTGCTTACCAGTGCATCGGTGCCTCCTGGATAATTTAGATCCAGCTCTCTAAAATATAAGTCCTCTGCCCAATTCTGCATGCTGCGCGTTACGGTTGTAAGGCCAATGAACAAAGTCACTTTCGCACAATTCTTTCCGAAGACATTTAATAACAAATCCCAGCTCAACATGATATCAAATAGCAACCACAAGTCATGAAACTAGAATAAATAAGTAAATTTCACCTAGATTCCTGAGTTCCACGAAAAGCAATTACGATCGCCTTCAAATCTTCGGCTATTCCAACAAAAGCCTGCACAGAAAACGAAATTCGCCATGTTAGTTAGACACCATAAAGCCACGACGAAAACAAATGCAAATCCAGGTGACGGTATTTACACAGGTGCTCAATGTTTCTCCCATGTTTATTGTGAACATGTGATGGTTATCCATGCTTTTATATAGCTTAATTCTTAGCTTGAATGACAACAAACCAAAAGCGTGGAGAAATTGGAAGCTCGGTACAGATTTCTGAGCATTTAAAGAAGATGCAAATTAGAACTAAAGGGCGCATCAGTTTAACTGCAAGAGTATATACCTGAAGGCAATGCTGAACATCGACAATAAGTGAATGCATCTTGAAACCCTGCGCCGATAGAAGTATATCAATGTATAAAGCACGCAGAGATTCAAAATAAGGACCATGTCATTTACACTCGTCCACAAGATGAGAAAAAATCCACGTACATGTGCATACTAGTGTCGATAGGTATAGCAGGTAATTAGTAGAATCAGGACCTGCTCAGCAGATATTCACGTACCTTCGTCAAACCATTGCAACGAGAACATGTCCATGATAGAATTGATGTCTCGTCTACTATATAGACCTAGAATGAGAACCAACCATAAGTTTCATATTCGACAACAGCTAGAGATTGTCGAAGATTTCATTGTGAACAAAGAAATATACCTAATTAATCCTTGTAGGGATTTCACTGTATGGTGTAGCAGGTACTATTACAAGTCCACTCCTTAAAACCTTCATATGTAACGAGAACAAAAAAAATTCAACACATCAGCAAAAAAAAAAAGAAAAAAAAAAAAAAATCTAAAAGGACAAGGTCTATGACAGTAGAAATGTACCGCAGATGCGTACTCCACAAGGATAAGGGCTCGCGTCCTATTATATTCACAAAGAGTAGACTTGTGATCTGCAGATAAAAGACTGCATTTTCTTACACTTCTCGTTCTACCCATTATGATAAAATCCATTCGCTCATCATAATTTGACCCAATCATCATATGGGTTTCACGGCTATGATACAATAAAACCATCACAAAAGCAATTCAACATACATCATGCGAGAGGGCCTGAAGTAAGCTTGGCAATTGAGAAGACAAACCTATTTCAAAAGATGCTGCATACGTCAGAAATGATAAAAACAACATGATGGCTCCAAAACAGAACTGCTTATTTCGATTGTAATCCATTCCTTGGGCATATCTGTAAATCCACTTTAAAAAGTAAACCATACCGAAGTCTTGAGCAGACATACCTAACAGCTGAAGTGCGTCAACTGTTAAGTTGCCCGGCGACATAGAAATAAAGAACTTAGTGACGTACAGTGAGATAAGCGGACAGAGACTTGCGCTTCGCAAAATACTGTTGATTCGTTCACATCTTTCCCAGGATTAGGTGTTGTCTGATTATTGAATTACATAAATCGTTGGCGTTGCTAATCTCGAAAAATGCTCACCCTGTGGTGATCCGTTTGATTCTAAACGTCTTCATTTAGAAACGTGATGCTCGCTTCTATTTTAAAATATTAACCGTTGAAATTGACTTGAGTAAAGGCAGCCACAGATGATAGACCAACTCTTGTGAAAGAATTTATACTCGGAGAATTGAGATCCAGACCAATCGAAAAGAATTATGGTCGATGAAACATCTATGTAGACGAAATCGAAATCCTCAAAAAATCTCACGAGCAAGTTGCATCAGAAGACAAGCGCATGATTTAACTAAGTTTCCACTGACCTGTCAGTGACCCACTCAGAACTCACAGAAGAGTTCTTGACCACCTGAACTTTCACATCGTCAGGCGCTGAATTAGCAGGGAGCTCCAAGCACCCTCTCGTGCTAGTCACCCACACTCGTGTTGACTATTCGCCGCTTCTGCCAACTCCACCGCTCACGAGCGTCCTCGCTAGTCCATGTCACTACACGTGACAGACTGCAGTGTAGAATTTTAAACTCCTTGGCCACTGAACACCCGTGCCATACCAACACAAAGCACGGCACACTCGACCACAAAACCACCTTCTACAGCACTAAACCTCGACATGTGAATCGAATTTGACGCTCCAAACAGGCATAATCACCTTGACCCAACTCTGCAAACCTCGGGAAAACTGTAAATAATGGAATGCCAGATCCAGAGGAACAATTTTGCGAGGGGGAAACGAGAATCTAGACTCGCGCACAGAGTGTGAGACTGAAACCAACAACCGTAACGGTGGGACCGGACGGAATGGCTTCTCAGTGACTCTGTGAATTGACACGCCTTTTTTTTCCCCTACAACTGGGCTGTTTGTTGCGAAGCGAGAATCGCAGCAGCCGTGGAGGCTACACAATTGAATTGGATTAGTGGGGAGGATCCGAATGTGGACTTGTTGACGAAAGCTTGCCATTGCATTGCGGCACGGCAAGAACTCTTTCCCAGCGCCGTAACGTTCACGATTATCGTTTTATTTCGGTAGAATTCGTTCGTCGTCGTCGTATCAGGTTCGTTCGTCCTTCGTTTGGTTCGCTTTCGTTCTTTCAGGATCGAGAAAATGGACGAGGTTGGTATTGTTGATCATGTTTTTGTTGTCAAAGTGTCTGCATGAGAAACTGTTCATCATTTTTATTTGTGGATTATTTGTATCGTAACCACATTGATTTTTATTTATTTATTTATTTTTCTTCATGGATTCGTACTTCTTCATCTTTACATCTTCTATTAGGTAGGATTAACTTTAAGTCTTTTTGGTCATTTTTTGTATGATTATTATTATTATTGTTATTCTCATATAAAGGTTGCACTGTTGTAATAATCTCTTCAAATTTATCCAATTTTTTATCTATTCAAAATATATAAAAAAATCAACTACAAACACAAAGCATCTTATTTCTACTCCTCTACAAAGTTTTAGTTCTATGTACACTCTTTCTACTTCTTGAGTCCTTATTTTGACTGAATTTTTTTAAATAGAAAAATAAATAAATATAATTTAAAATAAATAAATAAATGAGTAAAAAAATTAAATTATTATAATATCATAAGTTGGAGTCAAAATTAAAGATGTTGCTTAAATTTTTTAATAATAGTAATTAGTAGTCATTTTTTTGCCTCTTTTAGCAAAGATAGTTAAAAATTTGAAATTATCTAATTTATTTTGGTAATGATGTTAAGTTTGAATATCTCTACATATACAAATAGTCAAAGATGTGAAGTTATATAACTTATTTGGCCATAATATCAACCTTGAGCATTTGCTCATATCAAAGATATTTATAGTTTTTTTATTATTAATTTATTTAGTAATTTTTTAAAATTTAAGTATCTTATTTTATTAAAGATAGTAAAAGATGTGAAGTTGTTTCATTCATTTGGCAATGATATTAAGCTTAAGAATCCCTCAAAATTAAAAAGTAATTACAAATTTAAAATGCTAAAATAAAATAGAAATAATGTCAAGCTTGAATACTTCTACATATGAAAAGTAGTCAAATATAATATATTATCTAATTCATCTAGCAATAATATTTAAGTAGACTACTACAATATATAAAAAAATAGTCAAAGATGTAAAGTTGTATAATACATTTGACCAAAATATCAAGCATAAGCATCACAATATATTAAAAGTAATGAAAGAAATCATATTCTCCAATTTATTTAGCAATAATGTCAAGCTGGAGCACTTTATTAAATTAAAGGTAATCAAAGAAAGATATTATATACTCCATATCATTTGATAATGATGTTAAGTTGGGGCATCTTATTAAATTAAAAATAATCAAAGATGCAAAGTTGTCAAATTCTTTTTACAATAATGTCAAGCTTTTGTATCAACTCAAATCTATAGAAGCAAAAGTTTTTAAAATTATACCATATTATTAATATACAAAAAGAATTGATGTTGTGAGGTTGTCCAAATTATTTGGCAATGATGGTAAGCTTCAATAATTGTGCTTAATATAATAAAGCAAAGAAATGAGATTTTTCATTTTACTTAATAAGAATGTTAAGATTTAGATAATAAAAACGTTGGATTTTTTTTGATATTTTGGATATAATGTTAAGCTTTTATAATTTATCATATCAAAGGTAATAAAAGATAAGATATTGTCTAATTCATTTGGCAAAGATGTCAATCTTGTGTAATAACTTATATCAAAGATAGTTAAAGATGTGAGATTTCTAATACATTTGGCAACAATGCCAAGCTTACGCACCTACTTGTATTGTGATTTTTTAAAGAAAAATGACTTTCTATTAATATTGATAATAATTTTAGTCTTTGGCTACCTTTTAAATTAAATATTTTCAAAGAAGTTATATATTCATTTTTATTTGATAGCATAATTAAATTCAAACTTCTTTCTAAGTTAAGTTCTAATAACATAGAAATTTTAAAAAAAATTCTATGAATTATTTGTTTTTGAATAATATGACATTTAAGATATAATTTGTTTTCCAAACATCTTTTATAATACAGCATGTACATTTTTTTTTTTTACTAATTCCTCTTTTAATTTACAATCACAAGCAATATCTAATAGAAAATTTTTGATCTAAGAAAATATTTTATTAATACAAAATTCTGATGAGTATCTTTATAGTAGTCTTTGGTGCATACACACTAACAAACATTGAAACTCAAAAATTGCAGTGATGAAAAATAAACATCTTAATTATATTATTAACACAATTAAACTCATAAAAGATTAGAATTTCTATATTAGTGGTGTACTTAATATACATATAAATCTAATTATAATATAATATTATTTTAAAATAATAGTAATCTTATATTAATACACATCTAAAAACAATTAAATGACATAATGTATCCAAAATCTTATTCTTCTTTGTAAATTTAAAATTGCTCAAGCTTTCTTTTAATATATTTTAAATCCCATAATTATTTTTCTTTATATTTCCATCCAATTTTCTCCTAATTTTTAACTTTTGTAAAATTTCTCTCAACATGTCAATTACTATATATATATATATATATATATATATTTGTTTAAATCTTATAGTATTTAGACTCAATGGTTGGCTATTTCAAGTTTATATAATTTTTTTTTGTCACCCTCAACAAGTTCATTAAGTAAATTTTCTTGACCACAAGAATGGAAAATAAAAAACTTCAAATGTATTTCTTTATTAAGTTTTTTAATATTTAGTTTAAAATTTTTTCACCACAATGTTTTATTGCTTTGGATCTTGAATTTTTGTAATCAATGTGCTGAAATTTCTAGCAAATATGTCATCCATGAACACAACATCTTCAATTTGACTTTGATTCTTCACATTGTTAAAGATCAAGATGGTTTTTTTTCTTAAACAAGAATGATTTAAAAAAAATAAAAAAATAAAAAAATGAGATTCTTTATTATCCTTTGGTTTTGATTTGACATAATTTTTTTATAAAATATTAAAAGAAATTGTATAAAAATCACTATTACTTTTAATGCACTCAACAAAACATAAGTATTACACATGTGCTTCATATGATTCAATGCGGCTTTTGCTATTGTGGTCTTGCCAATTCCATTTATTTCAAGTAGATAGAATGACTTTAATTTATTTTTAAAAAAAAATCTTATTTTTTATTGATATTTTTTTCTACCAAATATCTTTATTTAGATAAATTAACCTTCAATTAAAAATTCTACTATAAATTAATAAGAAAAAGACTAATCCATGCATTACATGTATACATAATCTTATTAACTTGAGCTTATAATATGGCATGTAAACAAGTTAATTTAACATATGTATTTTAAAGTAGGAGTCTTATCAATGGAAATTTATTATGTATTTATTAAAAACTAATATTTTTATGATAATTTTTTGTTGATTCTCCGAATGTAGTGTGTTTCACCTTTTAATTCTAACAAAAAACTTATACTTTGATGAATTCAATATTTTTAAAATATTTAAAATTTTCGTGGTTGCAAAGAATTTAAGTTTCAATATTTTTTTATAGGTTTAGTTGATTCATCATAATTTAAAGAAAAATTTGAACTTTTCTTTTAATTTTTTTTTTAATAAAACTTTTATCAATATAGTATTATGAAATGAATCTTTTTTGAAAAACTTTTAAAACATATAATTACAAAAAAATAAACATCTACTTTAAAATAACACATTTTTATTGTTTAAAATTCAATTATCAACACTTCAAAAGTCATATATTTAATACTAATATAAGTAATATTGTTCTTTGTAGTTTTTAGATTGCTTCTAACTTCAATCACTTTTAGAATAGAATGTCAAAAAATATTATTCTTTAATTTTTTTTCTATAATATTAACCAAAATATTTTCACACTTTAGATTGGTGCAATGTGTATTTCATGTAAGTAAGACGTTCCTTTTGCAATTTTATGCAAAATATCAATGAAAAAAATTTAAGATATATTTTTTTCTTTTAATATATTTCTTAAATTTATTTTAGTTAATTCTATATTTAAATATAAATAATATTTTTTTATTGTTGTTACAAAAGATTTACTAATTTCATTGACATTACCTTTTATTGAAAAGTAATATGCTATTAAGTTAGATGGCATAAATTGACTAAAAAATGCTCAATTCTTTGTTTAAAAAAATCATAATATCTAACATCTATATTTACAGTTGCATACAAAACTCTCAACTAACATGATTTGTAAACTTATCAATTAAATCCAAGTTCTTCTTTTATGGATTTTATCATTTTAAGACTTGTCATGTTTGATGATGGTTTCAAATCATCCAATCTTTTAACTTCTATGTAATGTAATTTTTCCAACCTTTGTAATCAATGCTTTGCTAATCTATTATATTCAAAATCCTCTTCTCCATCTGCATAAATCAACCTGTTATGTGAAAATTGAACATTGCCTTCTACTTCATCATGTATTACAACATCAAAAGAAACAAATGTGATGTCTTCAAATTAGTTTAGACGATGCTTTGAAAGTGTATTACTTGCTATATCACAACAATATTTCAAATTCCAAAGTAGTTTTCTAAAATTTTCTTTATTATTCAATTGGAAGATAGATTCTTTAAAAAAAATTATTTTTCTATAATTTTCTAATAGTACATAAGACTTATTTAATATAAGACATAACTCACTTAATAAAAGTCCAAATTCCAATTCATAATTTTTGCAAGTCATTAGGTGGTCAAAAGCTTTTGTAACATATTTAAGTTCTTGCATAAATTTTCTCATTGGTTTCTATTCAACAAATAATCTTTCTTCAATAAAAACTCAATTGCTCTAATATAAATTTTAGATCCTTTTTAAGTATCTCCACAAATAACTTGCATATTTAATATTTTTTTAATATATTTTTTTATAATGCTTGAAGAGCATGGTATAAAAAATTATATATATATATATATATATATATATATATATATATAATTCTTCATTAATTCCAAAAGATATGCCATAATGATTAATTGCAAATATTTTAATTTTACCTTCTTACCACTTATAGGAAATTACACATCAAGTTCATGTTGCATCTTAATAATATCACCAAATGCTCTTTTATCTACATTCTTCCATAAACCAAAAAAATATTCTTTGCTATACATCGAATCTTTAATTCTAAGATTGAATCTTCAATCTTAATTAATTCTGAAGTTCAATATTTATTCTATTTATTTACTCAAATAATATAATTTCAATCTATAACTTTAATATAAAACATATTAATTATAAATCATAATCCTACATTTTAAATGACTTTGATTTGAAGAAATCTTCATTGCAAACTTTATATACAACTACAAAAATGTTTCAATAATATACAAATATACTCTAAAATATTTATAATAAAAATATACTATTATAACATGAATTTCTTTGAATGCACATACCTTCTATTGGTTGAATAAAAAACCAACTCAAATTACAAAAGAAATCCGACTACTCTATAGCTTGGATATAATCAACCAAATATAACTGAAGTTCTTATTGCAAATTCTAATAAAAATAACTTTTAATGTCCCTTGTTTCTTTCTACATATTTATTCTATCAATTAAGGTATTACAATTATAATTTATTTGTCTATTTAACTCAATCATATTTACATTTTTACAAACTTCTTTCATCTCAAGCATAAAATTACAAATAACATGCATTATACTTTCTAATTATCACAAGAATATCCACAGTTACTAGACTTGGTAATCTTTATCACATTAATTTGTCACCACACTGAGCAATTTCCAACATGCCATATATATATATATATATATATATATATAATGATAATAAAATTATTAGTTTTTATTTTAATTTTAAGATCTTTTTACATCTATGCCCTTAATAGGTTCTCTCCATGGTACCACTAATAAGCAAAAGTACATCATTCCATCTTCAAAAATACAAATGCCTCTAAATACAAAAAAAATAAATCTAAAAATTGAATAAAAACTTCAAAACTATTGATGCATATCTTACAAATAATTCTACAACTTGTATTCATATGTATTAAACTAAGAGTCTAAAATTTACAATTATAATAAAAAAATTATGTTATTTTATATTTTTAGAATATTCAATGACCAAAGAAAAAAATTGGATTTTTTCAAAATTCGAAAAAATCTCTTTTAAGATTAATAAAAGAATATTACTTTAAAATTTAACTTATTCAAGTTTCATTATCTTTTTTATCTAATTTTACAAATGTTGTAAATTGTTAGATCATACTATGTCTTGGGCTAATTTTTTTCATTATCTGCATAAAACGCTAATACTAATTATAATAAACTTTTTAAAAACAAAATCCTTATTTCAATTAATATAACACTGTTTGATAGACCAAAACTACATTCATAGTTAAATAAAGATCTAAAGAATACAAAATATAAATATAAATATATAAATGTATATATATGTATTTAATGAAACTTAGAATATTCTTGTGACACAAAAAGAAACACATCAATGTTTTTAACAAAATATCATAAAACCTTAACAAATATCCACATGAACTCAAAAATACAATCCTCAATCCCATCAATCCTCACATGGGCTTGATTGGACCAAAAGCAAAACCACAATACAAACGAGGAGCAGGAAGATGGATGAACGAAATAATGGGGACAGACGAACAGAAAATAAAGATGAATGAAAACAGAATCAAAGTACGATTAATGAAGAATCGGATGAAAGCAGGATGAACGAATGAGCGGTTTCACGGATGGATGATGTATGGGATGAAATGAACGAGCGGTCTCATGGATGGATGTAGAAGCGGAGGAAACCCTGAGACGGGGGTGGGGTGGGGGAGTGCCGTAGGAGGGAGACAGAGAGTGTGGAGGAGGAGGAAGAGAAGACTCACGCTGCGGGCGTCGAGCAGTTGCGTTGCTCTGCTCTGCATCCCCGGGCTCATGGTACGTATAACTCGATTTTGCACTTCTTCGCGGCTTTCTTCTAGTCTTCTTCTTGTGTGTGTTTTCTTTCCCTTTTTTGAACCATTTCTGGTGCGGTGCACAAGGAAGGAAGCAGCTCAACGGGGTTCTGTAATCGAGCTTTACTCCCGATGGCTTTGCGACCAAGATACGAATCTACGGGAGCTTTGATTGTGCTTTCAAGTTTATCCCTGAGCTTATCGGACATACAATTGGATTTGAATTCTATGAAATTAGGTTAAAGTAATGTGAAAGGTGTAGGTGCAGCGGGACCGTTCTGGTGCAGGGATTGGTGAATTTTCATGATTGAGCTAGTTCAGAGCTAGGGTTTACCTTGAGCGCTTTAGTTTAGTTTAGTTTTTTTTTTTTTTTTTTTTTTTTTTTTTTTTTTCTGTATGAGCATTGAAGTCGAGAATTGATTTCGCTGGTTACTATGTTTGCAGTTTTTTTGTTTCACATTAGCTTTAACTAATGAAACTTAGGCTGGAGTTTTCAGAATGGAGCACGATAGGATGGGTAAACACGAATAAACAAATCAAGAAACAAAAAAACAAAAAAAAAAAAGGGGGAAAAAAAAGAAGAAGATTTGTTCCTTTTTCCGAAGTAGCTTGACATGGGGATTTTAAAGCTTGCAAGTGTGTCGGAATTTCGGTAAATATGCTTCATGTTTTTACTGAGACAGAATGTAAGACTTGGAATTTGAAGACTCTGTTCTCTTACGGTATCTGTATCGTAAAGCGTGTTTGAACAACAGATTCATATGCTTTAGTCCGAAGTTTAGAAGATGCAGTAGATTCCTTTCTGCAAGTGATTGCAATGTATTATGGCACTACTATCTCAGCATCCTAGATAGGACGTATCTCATAGTAAATTAAGAGAGAACATTTTATCATCGAACCTGCAGTTCAACTGGTTTTGTACTTAGTTTCAAGCGGATCTTGTACATGTCCAGGGACAGGAGCCGATGACAGATATTGTGAAAGTGGGTCGCTATACCCAAGCCCTTCCTAGCCGCTAAGGACTGCTTCTCATCATCATCATCATCCGTTATCTCTGTTGTAAGAGAGAAAAAATAAAAAATAAAAAAAAAAGAAAAAAAGAAAAAAAGAAAAAAGACAAAGGTGCTAATCAAGCAATGGCGACTGTAGATGAAGAGAGTGATGAGCGTCACCAATCTCGCAGCTTGGAAAGAGGCCGAGGTAGGCGACACAGACGGCACCGTTCGGACAGCCCCTCATCTCCTAAACGGAGGCGCAAGCGCTCTCGATCTTCTAGTGTTGAGGACCGCAAACACAAAAATCCAGCTGGAGAAAGTAATAAACATGGTAGGAAGGGAGATAGAGAAAGTAATAAACTCCAGGAACTCAGTCACAGGGATGTAGAAGGTGATTCGGAACGAGAGGATCTTGAGGACAGGAATGTGGGTGGTTCAAAAGTTGGGAAAGGCAGCGAGGAAGACGATCGTGAAGGTGTTAGGGTTGGGGTTAGAAAGAGCAGCAGGTGTGATCGAAAAGTAGAAAAACATTCCGAAGATACAAGTGATGACGAGGATCCAGATTCTGACGATGATAGTGACAGTGATAGAGGAAGGAAAAAGAGGACAAGATCTAGCGGTCACAAGCATCGTAGTGAGAAAAAGTCCAAGAGTAAGCTTCGGGATGTACGTTCAGGGTCCGAGCAGGATCAGTCTGAGACTGAAGATACATCTGAAGAGAGCTCAGAAGACAGCGAAGATGACTACAAGAGAGCAAAAAGGCGGAAGCGACAGAAACAAAAGGAAAGAGATGAGCGTGAGAGGATGGAGGAACGTAAACGGAAGAGGAAGGTTAATACGCCAGACGTCTCTGTACTTTGTGGAAGTCCTGATTGATCCTCTTCCCAACTTTTAGTTGTTTGCAGTGCATTATATCTATTCGTTCATCTTTTACCATGAAATCCCTTGGCACTGTTTTTTTTCCTCCGAGTAAAATTCAGAAGTTTCTCACGAGTGGAAGCTGATTGTGCGGTGTAGAACCGGAAGTTGAAAGAGAAAGAACGAGAACAAGAGAAGAGAAAGAAAAAGAAAGAGAAAGTGGAGAAACGAGCCAGGGGGCCAATAACTGAGTCATGGGGTAAATACGGGATCATTAAAGAACTCGACATGTGGTTAGTTTTCTTGCTAAAACCTGGTGTGGTTCTTAATATGAGAGGAGGGTGGAAGTGCGTCAAGATTTCTATGAATCTTTAAGTTTTTTTATTTTTATTTTTAAAATATAATAATTTCGGCTTGAGGTCGAAAGCTTAGCCAGCATGTTATCGAATTTCATTAGAAGATACGATATTTTGTAATTGTCCCGGCTTTCGACTTGTCTGCGTGGTTAAATCCAGGGACAAATAGTTTTCATCTGGGAAATCTCTGCCTACTGGTTATCGTTCTTCTTGACGCACTGCAGCAAGGTTTAGAAGGGGATGTTTGATGCATTCAAATTTCTTTTTTGCAGGACAAAGAGGCCGGAGTTTAGTACCTGGTTAGCTGAGGTGAAGAAGGTAATTCCATAGCTCTTAAAATGGTCACGTTGCTCCAGTAATCAACTTTCTTATGCTTTTTAGTTTGATTTTGATTTTTTTTTTTGACATGTCTCGAATACGAGCACCTGTAGAAACTGCATGCCATTTAATAGTAGAGAGAGAATATTTTTATTTCCCTATCGATTTTTATTTGAATTAATTGTTTGTATGGTTGTGATTTGCGACAGGTGAATCTGGAGACCTTGACAAATCGAGAAGAAAAGGACATGTTTAAGCAGTACGTAGCTCGTCAATGATCACATACTCTTTCTCAACTACTTTGCTCTAAATGTTCTTGACAGTAGAAGATGAAACTAGTTTTTAATCCCCTGGATTATCATTTTAACCCAAGAATGCCTTGAGGATACTTAATGTCAGGTCAAATAAGGAATTAGTCTTCTAATTTTACCGAGAAATACGGTGGTAGTTTTATGAGCATGTTCGGTCCTTTGTTGCAAGCTTCATCATTTATTCTCCACTCTACTGAGATTGGTCTAGATCATGTTTTTTTAATTTCATTTTCACTGTAGATACATGGAAGATTACAACACAGCGACTTTTCCTTCCAAGAAGTAAGATTTCGCACTCAAGCCTCATTCGTTTTATGCATCGTTGTAAGGTTTATGAGAAAATCTTGAGAAATGTTTCCTCATGGTCTTGTATTTAATGTCTAAGGACTACTTCAGTAGAGGCATCCTTCCCTTTTCTGTACGTTTTAGCCCTTGGAGTGTCTCGGGGTTAAGTGAAATTTACGTGTCTATGAGGTCGTGTGGTCCTTAAGAAAAGGTATTGATCTTATGTGGTACAGGTATTACAATATTGACATATATCACCGTAGAAAAACAACCAAGCAGAGATTGAAGGGCATGAAGGACATGCTGGCCAAGAAAACCGAACGTACCGAGTTCAATGATGAGGAACAACGGCGGTATGTTTTGATTCATTTATGTAAAGGGAAGTTAGAAGAATGTGCTTGTTGGAACTCAATACATGCTCCTCATTTTTTCTTTACATTAATGTAAGGTTCCAAGAGCTCTTGCTTAAAGTTACTATTGTTCGCAGGCAAGAGCTCATGGCGGAGCGAGCGAAGCAGAAGGAGACAGAATTGGACAAGATTAAACGCACAATGATGGAAACTGGCATGGTACTGTTTATGTTTACATACTTTCCTCTAGCTTCGTGTTAATCATGAATAAGAGTTTTAACTAGTGTAGCAAAGTTCTTAAACGTGCTGCTGGCAGATATGATATTTTTATATGGCTATTCTTAACTTGTCACTTTTGGATACAATGCATCCGCTTGTTTGAAACGAGTGCGTCTCTTGTAGTACTTCGTTGGCGAATTCAATACCTGAATACTGAGAATGGAAGAAACTCGTGTATCAACTTGTTTCACAGGGAAAAGCTATGAGAGAGCAAGCTGTGCTGCGTGAGGAGATGCAGTACCATTATCGGGTGGGCAATGTTGAGGTACTGAAGCTTTGCTACCCTTTTTTGTGTATTTGGAGGGATATCTGGTGCTCTTCTTTTTTAATTAGTGCAAACGTCTTGTGCTATTATAATCTGTCATGCAAGATGCCAAGTTTCTATTTAAACAGAAAAATATCACATGAGTCTCCTTCTTTATCATGTAGCTTCATCTTCTCTCCTTGTTACAGGCTGCTGAGAAGATACAGAGACGTCTTGAGCCAGATGTACCAGGTGCTCTCTATTGATCTGTCTGGCCTACCACGAGAGCAAGAGTCGCTTTGTGGGCAATCCCTCTGAACATTTATGTATGTTCGTGAAGAAAAATATGTTTTTTTCCAATATCGAAGCTTCTCTAGAGTACTGCAATCTGCTCTTGACAGTAATTGGAGTATTGTGTCATTTTCAAGCCTGCTCGTGTATTTACGACTGTATACACTGCATTTCTAGGATTTCTGCTGATCTGGACGTAGAGAACGTAACGAATAGGATTGAATGGGACGATGTTTCTGTTTGAGTTGGTAACACTGTCTCCGAGTGATGTTATTGGCTAGATGACTTTTGTGCTCTTTTCTTGTAGTAGTGAACATGCCAACATTTAATCGGATTTTGATGTTCAAACCGAAACAAACAGTTCAATTCTCTCGGCATCGATACGTGAAGGGCTTGCATAGTTGTAAAGGTGAAACCTTTTGCAATAGGACATGTAGATTTCAGATGAACATGAATTGAAGTGAGCTATAAAAAACTGGTGTAAAAGAAATCTACAGTAATATGTATTTTTTGAAAATATGACATTCTCGTTAGTCTTTAATCAACAGTCATATTTTTTTGGTGATTCTTAAGTTGTCATTGTAAATCAATGTTCAACCATCATGACCAACTATCGTGTCTGAATTTTACTACCTAGTAGTCGTATCCAGTATACTAAGGTTTTGTTTCACATTACGTGTGAAAACATACATTTTTTTCATTTAAGAACTTAGTTTTGAAAAGTAAATTATCCATACATTTCAAGGTTAAATTGTTTATGTATTATTGTAATTATTATAGTTTCTAAGATTTAATTCGTTTCTTGCAATGAGATTTTTTTGATTCTGTACAGTTGAAGTAATGCGTTTTGGTCATAACTTTTCAATTTTAATTTTTAATTAGTCAAATAAATATGTTAGAACAAAAACTTAAGTCGTCAATTTTTATACAAACTATTTATTTAATAATAATCATGTTACATAGTAGTTAGGAGTAAGATAAATAAGAAATGTTTAGAAGGGTGTGTAATTTTTGAAAGATATTGAAACTTAACAAGTGTGGATTCTAGAAGCATGCATGCAATATATTAATCTTATTAAAGTCTTTATTTGATACCTATTTCCTAAAACAAATTTATGATTCAACTTTGATTGATAGTCATATATACTTTTATATTTTAAAATTTTTATTAATATTAGATTTATTGATAAAATTTTATTACATCTTTGTTCATATAATTTATTATTAATAATCATATTAATAATTAAAAAAATATTTAAAAAAAAAAGAAAAAAAGAAAAAATATTAGAGATCATGATATGTATCATAAAATAAAAGAATTATAGCACATGAGGTCCTAAGTTTAAATTCTAATGTATATAAAAGGCCCATTACTATTATTTTTTTAGTATGCAACATATGTTTTATAATTTTGAAGCAAAATATCTTTACTTGGATTTATCACCAGACCACTTTATGTTAGGATTTTTTGAATAATTGCCCTATTTTTCTTAGAATAAAATTGGTAAAATGTCCTAAAATAAGGCTACAATTGTCTTCTTAAGCAATGAAGTTGATCTCATAAGGTATAAGCGCAAGCAGACAGCTAATGTGAAGTTGCTTACAATTCCATTATGCATTGATACTATGACAACATATATGAAGATGTAGCACACTAAGACACAAGCAAAATATCATGTGCTTTCAGATGTTAAGAAGAAGTAGTTCTTTGATTGCACAAATTTCAACATCACTCTTGCAACTCATTTTAATGGCAAGAATGTACTGACATTTATAATCAACTAAGACATTGTCGACATCATTATTGGTGACATATTCTTTAATGTCAATGACAAAGAATCTGTGCCAACACGTGAACAACTACTCAATATCTTTAAGTTCTTCAAAGATGCAAAAGTTAATAGTAATATCTTTGGTGGAGAGTAGGACTTAAACTGGAAAGCATATAATGTTGAAATTAAATATTTACATTTTTTTTTGTCTTATGATTGAATTTATCTCTCGTAGAGCTTTATTCCAAATGGTTGTGTGTTTTGTGGATGTCACCAAAATTGTGTTGCATATGAGTTGTTTTAATGAGTACAATGAAGATTGTACTAATTTGTTTGTCAAAGTGGTCTATGTTGTAAGTCTACATAAGATCATAGAATTTTTGTGCATGCAATGGACATTTTTGGTTGTTCTTAGTATTGGCTCAAACCAAGGCACCTTGTATTTTGACTTTTGAATTCAATTTGAGCATCAAGTGAAGTTGCACAACCTCTACTTTTTTGCTATTCCATTGTCGTGTTGTAGTTTGGCTACCATGTGAAAATAATGCATATATATATATATATATATATATGCATTGTAGTGAGAGCCATGTTATTAGATTTTAGTTAGTTATAAAATGTGATTAGATTACTACTTTGAAGTAGTTAGTTTAAAAGGCTATTATTAAAGTTGATTTTATATTAATAATAGTTTTTATATATTTAGAGCCACCTTTATTAGACATTTGTAACTCTTAAAATCTTATTTTGTTTCTTTTATTTGGTATGTTGGGCACATACTATATAATATATATTAGAAATACAATTAGGAAAGGATTTTCATGTAAAAAGGGATAGTTAGGCCAACTATGTGGACAAATGGAGATAGATGATAAAAATCTCCATTGTAATTGGCCAAAATTTATGTCCAATGGACTTTAAAGAGGCTATCCGAGGCCTTATAATGGATTAAGGTTATTGTGGTTGTCGTTTTACTTATTCTACAAATTTCTTTGAGAATAAACATGTAGAGGGGGGATTCGAACATAGGGAAAGATTAATTGCATGAGCTTACATATTAGGATCACACAATTAATTGTATTCCAAACCACTAAAACACCAAAGAATACTACAATGCTTTCTTCCACTAACAATACTCCTTCACAAACTGATAACAACAATGTGCAATCTTACACTTTCAAAAGACCGCTCAAAACACACAAATTCTATCTAATATCAAAAATAACAATCTTCTACTCCAACCAATTTTGCTTCATACAATTTTTGTAATCACAGACTTCTTCTATCAAAACACACACAACTCTTAATTAACAACAATCAATTTTTTTTTATCTAGAATCAATCTTCTTTAGAATTTGATAACAAACTTCTAATATCTTCTCATAATAATTCAATGTTACAATATTCCAATTACATACTTAATATCTCATAAATCAATCTTTGATTTATTTCGTAGATTTACTTCACAATATTCAGAAAATATCTATTATTCTTTAATTACAAAGAAACAAAGAGAACAAAGAGGTAGAACCAAGCTTATCCCAGCTCATGACTATCACAATCTGGCTCCTCTAATATCTTCTTCAACTTACTTATGCTTTACTTCTAAAATTCCAAATTCTAACCATCATTCCCTACTTAATTATTTTTCACAACTAATTCAATCATCCAACCTACTGAATTGAAAATCCTAGGATTGATTAATCTACTTTATCCATATCTTATAAAAACAAATTTCTATCCATTTTACATAGCTCCACTCCTAACTATGCAGCGTCCTCGCAAACATAGAATTGATACATATTTTAAAAAAAACTACTTAATAAAATTTTACAAAATTGCTATCCCTCTGGCCCACCTAATTGTTCAACTTCTGCATTATCCATTGTTGATTCCACCAATTCTGGTTCCAAATGCAAATCCTCATCCTCCTCTAATCCTTTCATGGGTTCCTTCCTCAACTGGGCTGAAAGGTCTTCATTGTACTCTTCCAATTCATCGACTTGAGCCTCTAATTTTAAGATCTGGACATCTCTCAATTTCAACTGGTGCTGATACTGACTCATTCCTTCTAGAACTTCAAAAATTGGTAATATTGATACTTATGATTGACCACTATTGACTAAATCATCTCCCAATTTTGTCACCTCCGCATTCAAAGCCTCATTTTCAACCCTCAACCGCTCCATTTTACATCTATATTGATTATTCAATATCACTTTCTCTTACACTAGTAACTCTGCTTTTTTCCATTCCGCTTGCAATTGACACTTGACTTTTTCCCATTCCAAATCTCATGTTTGGCAATTCTGGAGTAATTCTTCGTATTGATATTCTATGATTTGTAAGATACATTCTTTTTCTTTTGTCTAAGCTTCATGTTTCTGTAAAAACCTCCACTCCAATGTCAACTTGGACTGTGCATTCTCTTGGATGATCCATTCTTTTTGTGCAATTCTTTTGTTCTACTCCAATATCACCTTTTGGCTTGCCTCCAACTTCTGTTTGTCACAATCTTCTATATCTAATGCTCGTATCATGCAATATATTTACAAAATATACTTCAATAAAATATTCTTAAGGTGTACGCCTTTTGGTAGTCGATCCTGTAGAAACACCAAATGATTGATATCTAATGAAATCAGGATTTTATTCTCCTCCTCCACCATTGAACAAATCGGAACCGATTCCAGTGTAACTTTTGGAATTGCCTCCTATGCCAATGTACGACTGGATTTCCAAATTTCATGCACTACATCTCATGAATTGGTAGTCAGTGCCAATAAATTCCATTCACCTTGTTGAAGTACTACCAATGGTACATTTCTCTCTATTATTGGCATTGCTTGACTCAATGTAAATGCAATCACTGCATACACATAGTTGGAATAGAGCAACGCTGTAAACTTCCCAATTTTATACTTGACTCCTATTTTTGCATGAATACAGGTTATTACATAAGCTGTTAATTGAACATCATCCCCTCAAGCGTCTCTATTGCTGTAAATAATAATCATCTTGACATATACATGGTGTATTGATATAAGCCTAAATGCCTCAACACAAAGCGCAATCATTCCATGAGCTTTGGTATAATTGCCTTATCTGTCTGCCAACCTTAGTTCTTCTCAAACGATGACATTCTATCTTTGAAAAACCTTCGTAGGCTAAAATCGCATGATTCTTTGACCTCCATTGCAAGCTCTCTAATTGGAAGATACAACACCTTTTGTAGGATCTTCTTATCAATACTGATAATGCATCCTTGTATTATGCTCGATCCATCCTCTAAGTCATAATTTACAATATATTCTTCTACTAATACCACATTAATTGAGGACAAGTGTAGAATAGATATTAGTTCATTTTTGTAAGATATTACTAAAATAGATTAATAGTCCATAGAATAGTCAGTTCAGGAGGACGGATGGTTAATTTAGTTATTAAAAGTGGTTAATTACAGGATTATGGTTAGAATCTGGAAATCAGGAACAATTATATAGAAGTTGTAGAAGTTTGTTGGGGTGCCAGACTGTGATAGTCATGAGCCGAGGTAAGCTTGGTGCTACCTCTTTGCCTCTTTGTTTCTTTTTGTTTCTTTGTTGTTGAAGAGTAATGGATAGTTTCTAAATACTGAAAAGTGAGTCTTTGGAATAAATCAGAGATTGATTTATGAGTTATTGATTATGTAATTGGAGTATTGAATGATTGAATTATATGAGAAGTTATTGAAAGATTGATTATGGATGG